GGTGATGTTTGAAGGTCTCAGTTGCATGTGCAGGCCTGGGGCTGCTCCGAGGTCACAAGAATGGGCCCTCTCACCAAAGCGTCGTTCGGCCATAGCCTGCCCGAAAACTTCCTTCAACCCCAAGCCTCCGCTTGGCACAGAGGATGTCTGTGCTTCGTTTAAACATGAGAATTTGAAGTCTCTTTTTGTTCCGCGTACGAGTATATTAGCTCGCTGCTAGTACCTGTAGTGTTAGCCGTCAGTTGTTTATATATACACAACACAATGTATAACGGCTCTGCGGTAATGGAAATGCAGACTCTTGCTGCAGACGGGGGCGCGGGTGCCCTTATATCAATGGTGACGTTTTAACGCCGCGTTTAGCTGCCGTTGCCAAGTCCTGTGGTGCTTCGGATGGCTCGGTTCACCGGCTTGACAGGTGGCTCCGTGTGCTGAAGGAAACGGTTGAATATTTGTCAAAGCGGTGACACAGTCCCAATTTAACTGCGCTGAGTTGTGAGCTCGGTGGATACGAAATCATTTAGACGATCAATTCTTTGACCGATTTCAAACCCGTGCACCTCTGGCGATATCCTCACTCCCATATCGTTGAGCAAGCGGCGATATCTCCACTTGCCGAATGTGCAGAAATACGCGACTCCGACACCGCGGGCGTGGGAGTCTCTATCGGAATCGGCATTCATCTCCTCCCAGTGACTGTTGAGAGCAGTCGGTGAGATATTTTAATCGTAGGATATTTTAAGAAAATAAAATACCAAAATAAAGTTTGCCAGAATAACTTCAGTCAGAGTTGGTGACCCTCTGTGTTAAACCGGCCAAGGAGACGCATGGAGAGAGACGCCACTCGTGGTGTACACGCGGCTTGTACACCACGCGGCTTGTACACGCAGCACGCCCTGCTGGGGCAGCGTCCTCAGCCGTGGTGGGTCGTGACGGCCAGGCAGGTGCAGCTCCTCAGTTTGACGCGGGAGCCGGCTCAGCGGCGGCGCTCAATCCGCTCTTCCCAGCCCAGCGCCCGGCGAGATGGCCCAGCCAAACACTCTAAACGCGTCGTGATGTTGATTCTAAACGTGGACGGGAACAATCGGAGGACCCGGAGATAAATCCACACGACCACGGGGTGAAAGACACCGCAAACTCCAAATATACAGCAGGCGTCAGGGTCGGGATCGAACCTACGACCTCCTGTATATCAGGCGAGCGAGGGAGGGAACATCTGCTGGACACTGCGGCTCCCCCCGCAGTGCAAGGTGCCCGCTGCGGCGCGATGAACGATGCCTGCGATGGGAACCCGCAGACTCGGAATCGGTACTCTGCGTTCTCAAGCCACCAGACCGGTCAGAGCCCGGAGCTCGGTGAGCTTTGCCTAAGAACGATTAAGATGAGAGCCGTGAGAACGCCAGTGGGGTGAGAACTTCGCTGTGCTGGGGCTAGGGCGTAGCGGTTCAACTTGGCACCCACTGCACGGTCAGTGAGGGTGTGGAGGTTGTGCCGAGTCGCTGTGGCTGCAGTGGTTTAAAGTGTGACGGGAGGGTCCCCCCCACCGCCTCCCCAAAGTATTTTAACATTCGTCTTTAACGTGTGGACGCACGTATGGAGACATTCTCGAAGTGAGGTGCAGTCGTTGAAATTAATCAACTCTTTAAATAAAATGTGGAAATTTTGATTTAAAGCTTTCGTGACTGCAGGGATTCATCTTCTTGGTTCTTTCGGTAAAGTCACGTAGACTAAAATGTGGAAATCAACACTTTAAATAAAAGTGGAGAGTCCTGGGTTTGAATCCGCAACCCTCTGCTTCCAGGGCAAGCGCTCACCCCACAGAGCCACGAGGGCTCGGTGGGGGTGAGCGCCCCCGGCGTGTCATGTACCTGACCTGGCAGCACTCCGCGCGAGACACTTCGACGTCGATGTCGACATAAGAAAAGACGGTCCAAAAAATAAAATACTCGGAGTAAACTTGGTTTGAACCCAACATTGACTGTGTTCGGGTGTTCTATCCCGCCCCGTGTAGCCGCTTGACGCGGCTACACGGGGCGGGCTGTTCCACCCTAGGAGCTGACTCAGGGTTCGGAACTCTTCTATAAACCCTCCCTGGCATCGCGGACATCGCAAGAGAATTCCTTCCGCCGAATCGACATGGATGGACACTTTGATGAGTAAACAGTGTGGAGACGCGTGGCGTTGAGGTTTGCCTGAAACGTCACCTGGGGCATCGGCGACTGAACACTTTAAAACACACAACATTGGGGAGGGAGGACGCGGATTCGAGCCCAGGGGCCTCGCGGGTGGCGCCGCTGCCACCGATCGCTCAGAGCCACGGCGCCTGCGTCGCACACGCGTGTTGCGGCACACGCGTGTTGCGGCACACACGCGTGTCCTGCAGGATGTTCAATGTGTTCAGCTGCGCATTCTCGTGCGCACTGCTCTCGATAAAGCAGACGCATTGTAAGCGTGCTTCAACCTCTGTAGCTAAATGCCGTTACCTTCTTACATCTCCTGTTCGCATGTACTTGCCGTGGACCAATGTAAAGATGAATTGATATTGTAAGGTGGTGGCTTCAGCCACGAGTAATCAAACTCCGCGATGTATCTGATTGTTCTTATTTCGCTTTTTCATATATATATTGAACACGTGCCGAGATGCTCGAACTATAGTATTATATATATCACTATAGTATTATATATATCACTATAGTATTATATATATCACTATAGTATTATATATATCACTATAGTATTATATATATCACTATAGTATTATATATATATCACTATAGTATTGGCTTGTTGTTGCGATTGCAGCACATAACATTTATTTTAAACGGATTGCATGCTTTGCGGGCCTAATTGTACGAGTAAGTCTGTACACAGGCAGGTTCCTGTACGCTTCCCAATCTGCGCACATTTGTATAACAAATAAACAGACTTTGTGTTTGTTTACCTGCTACTGGAGCCAGTTTACTCACCACAGCGCGCGCGTGTCTGTGTGTGGTGTCTGTGTGTGTGGGGTCTGTGTGTGGTGTCTGTGTGTGGTGTCTGTGTGTGTCTCTGTGTGTGTGTGGGGTCTGTGTGTTTGTGTGTGTGTCTGTGTGTGTCTCTGTGTGTGTGTGGTCTGTGTGTCTGTGTGTGGTGTCTGTGTGTGGTGTCTGTGTGTGTCTCTGTGTGTGTGTGGTCTGTGTGTCTGTGTGTGGTGTCTGTGTGTGGTGTCTGTGTGTGTGTGGTCTGTGTGTTTGTGTGTGGGGTCTGTGTGTGGTGTCTGTGTGTGGTGTCTGTGTTGTGTCTCTGTGTGCGTGTGTCTGTGTGTCTCTGTGTGTGGTGTCTGTGTGTGGTGTCTGTGTATGTGTCTCTGTGTGTATCTGTGTGTGTGTGGTCTGTGTGTCTGTGTGTGTGTCTGTGTCTGTGTGTGTGGGGTCTGTGTGTTTGTGTCTGTGTGTGTGTCTGTGTGTGTGTCTGTGTGTGTGTCTTTGTGTGTGGGGTCTCTGTGTGGTGTCTGTGTTGTGTGTCTCTGTGTGCGTGTGTCTGTGTGTGGTGTCTGTGTGTCTGGTGTCTGTGTGTCTGGTGTCTGTGTGTGGTGTCTGTGTGTGTGTCTGTATGTGTGTGTCTCTGTGTGTGTGTGGTGTCTGTCTGTGTGTGTCTCTGTGTGTATCTCTGTGTGTCTCTGTGTGTGTTTCTGTGTGTCTGTTTGTGTATTGCACCTTGTTGGAGCGGTGGTGTAGCGGTTAGCGCTACGAACCTGGCGATCCGAGTTCGATTCCCGCTCACGGCCAACACCCAATGACGATTATTTAAACCGGTCCTGTGCCTCTCCTAGGTCGACTCAGCCTCAAATGAGTACCTGGTGCGGTGTGTAAACATCGCCACTGGGGCGTGGTGCTGGCCACCCCCCCCCCCCCCTCGTGTGCCACGGTGCCGGCCTCCATCGGGTGTGCTCCAGCTGGCGTCTGGTGCCGATGTCTTCTGCCTCGGGACCTGCCGCCGATGGGCCGAATATCTAAACAACTCCAGCGCGTATCGGCCGTGGAAGATCGCACCAAGAGGATGCTGCTCGAGCCGTAGAAAGTTCATCACCCGACGACTCGAAACCAAATCCAGGGCGCCGGTTCCCGAGGGCGAGCTGTTGAGATGAAGCGCCGCGTCTCGATCTCTCTCTCTCTCACCATCCCTGTATGGGCCCTTCAGCCAGCAGTGGCCCTGACCATGGCTCGCGACGTGTGCGTGCTCCTCTCGTTCTCAAGCGACACACCCCTCCGGGATGACTTGGCGCCGCCATTGTAATGTGGAATTTCCACAATCGCGGCGTGTCGCTCTCGCCCTCGATCACGGACCGCGCGTTCCCCACCACGATTCGTCGACTCGATGAGCCCCGCAGAAAGCGTGAAGCCCCGGGGTAACCCCTCGCCCCGGGGCCACCCGGCTCACACGATTCACTAAGCGGGTGGTGGGGCTGTGTGTGTTGCGTGTGTTAGCTATTGCACACGTGTGCCTGTGTTCGGATAGGCCGTCTATTTTTTATTTTGATGTTTGTGCCTGGCTACCGTACAGGCGTACACGCGGAATGTCAGAGTTGAAGGTGGTGGGGGGGGGGGGCATGGCGCTCTCGGCGAGTCGTAACAACGTCAATGGCACAGGACGAGAGCCTCGCTGCGGTCGCCTCGTCGAGGCGTGGCGCGTGGTGCAGTCGGCAGCTTCGCAGCGACGACTGCACTCGCAGCTTCGCCCCAGCGAGGTCTGCCACACTGCCCCACGCCGCGAGCCAAGGCTGCAGAATGCAGTGCGACGTCACCAGCGCACCCTGGCACCCCGACGATTGGCATTCTAGCGGCTCCCTGTGTGTAACCACGAAGAGATGTTCATTTAAAAAAAACTTAAATTTGTTAAACAAAAATAAAGCTTTCCGAAATCCTATCTTGGGACACCAATTCGGGATTTATCTTCCCGAATTCCGTGACGGAATTCCTCTTTCTTACAAAAATATATAAACCCGAGCCATGACCTTTCGTGAAAATGTTTAATACTTTCAGATTGTCTTCCCCAAAGGAAAGAAGCATCATCCATGTCGCAAGAAGAACGGTGACCGCTGAGAACTGATGCACCACCAGAGGCACTCGGAAACACTCATTCGGGATTGTAGAAGGACTGGTTTCGAGAGGTGATACTACTTGTTTTTGTTTTACGGGGTAAGGCCCTCTGAACTATGTAGATATTTTTCAGAAGCGACCTGGCCACAAATGAAAGCTCCACGAAGTGGCTTTTCACGTGGAAATGTATAGCAGTCAAATACTCCAAACGCGTTTATAAATGTAGTCGCGAAAACTGGACCCGGAGAAAAATCCACGTGACCACGGGGAGAACACGCAAACTCCAAATATACAGCAGGCATCGTCAGAGTCAGGATCGAACCCACGACCTCCTGCATACTAGGCGAGGTAGATGGCATCTCGCACTATTGGGACTGCGTTCTTAAATGACACGAATTGTTTTGTAGCAAGACAATCTACAATCCAAGAAAGACGATCATAGCCGATGGTTTAACAATCTGCAAAAATTGCCAATAATCAGAGTAAAAATGTTGTGTATATTCACAGAATTATTGTGAATAGTGACCCATGATTGATTTGATTCAACATCGAATTGCGTCCGATTTGTGGCAATAAAATAAAAATGAAATGGGTATGATGGAGCAAGCCTCCACAGAAATGAAATGTGCGACCGATAAAAATTGATGACATTTTTTCAGCGGATTGCAAATCAGCAGGAGACAAATTTCATATTTAACTGTAAAAAGTATATACAGTATACACTATATACGCATTAACACATGCTCTATACTGCTTATATATAATACAAAAAGTGATATATTGTTAGAGAGCAGCGTTCCTCTTGAAATGGGTCAGGACACTAGTTCACACTAGTTCCACCACACGTAACACACACAGCTTACACGTTCAATCGTACACTTGGAACAACTTAGGAATATTAAATTGTTGGTAAATTACCGAGATTAATTATGCATTCAATTATTCCTCCCACCCTCAAGCTGTCATTTGATTTGTCACAATTCATAATTTTAATTCCATTTTTGGCCTCTTTCCCCACCCAGTTTATATCGTTTCCCCCTTGTTGTCCTCTCTACACTTTTTCTCTTTTGTTCAACCTAAATGGATTATTCACAGATAATTTACATTGAATTTACATAATCAATCACGTTTACACATATAACAGTATTTGACACGTGCATCGTGGGTATACAAATCCAATGTAATCATGAATTTCACGCGTGCTTTAAATGCCAATGAAGAAACTTTTCCGGTCTGATACTGGGAACAAGATGCACCGGTTATTGATTTTAAGCAGTGGAGTCCAAAAAGCATGCATGCCAATTTCTTTGAGTCTTGCAACAATGGACTTAATTGCCGATTGAGATTTTTGATGGGTGGTCTGCGCTACGTCCAGTTAGCTCGCAGTAACATTTATCCAGCCAATCAACATTTGTTTTGGTGTTGTACATAAAAACTAAACGATTTTATTTACTAGGAATATAAAAAAAAACGTGGAGGGCAAGACTGGAGGAACCCAGAGAATAAAAATCCACGTGACCATGGGGGGAGATCTTGCAAACCCCTGATACACCAGAAATCGTCGGGATCGAACCCACGACCTTCTGCATAGAGATGTTATAGTCTCTCTTATCACTGCATGAACCACACGAGCCGGGCAATGACATCATTGCCAGAGTAACCCAATGGGTGGGACATGGTCCATATCTTTCCAGTATCTTTAAGCTACCTGGATGCAAACGCTCCTCCACAACTCCATTGATGATACAAAAATACAGGGGCAAATGTCTTTTTTAGTAGGGTTGGCGTTAAAGTCCCACTCTTTGGTGAGTTCCTGGGTCAACAGCAAGTTCTCAAAACTCAATCTCGGGAGGTGCTGTATTCACCAGATCAACGGCGCACACCGCACGGGTTAACAGCCTCCATCTGCATCTGCCACAGATGCAGATTTATTGGTAAAGCCACGAGAATGTCACACGAGGGGTGGGGACTTCCATTCCACACCCAGAGGTGCCGTCAACTCGTGGGTATGTGACTTGGGTACACCGCAGGCACTGGTGAAATTCCCTATATCTGTGACAGACAGATGTAGAATAAGGTAACTGTGCAATAAGATGCCTGCCTGACCCCACAGTGGGCTTGTACAAGCTTCAGTTTGCATGGCGATACGGCATTGAATATCACATGCCGTGGTTTGTCAGGCACGTCGAAGAGGGAGGTGCCCTGGTCGTTGTTATTGGTAAGGCCCCGACTTCACCGAGGACACACTTAGAATCGTGCCGACTCCATCCTGCGGTCCAAGCAGTTGGTGTCATGCAGGATGTGGCCTGCTCACAATTTGTCACACTCCAAAAGAAATTGAATGGGGAGATTTTTGTTTTGCCCAATGCTTATTCTGGTCTCAGACTCTCCTCTAGCCTAAGGATGTTGTGTGGATGCACTTGAGAGTGAGCAGCTTGTTTTGTAACTCCAAGCAGATGGGCAGCACAGAAACTCAGAAACATCCTATTATTAATGTCATGCTGATCTGGCCCGTGGCTTTCCATCACTCGAGTTTGGGTGTCAACACTGTGTCTCATGCAGTGAAGTCACCCAAGGGTGCGACTAGGCCTGCTCTCTTCACCATTGTTCATTATTGGTGTTAGCAGAGGCAAGTATTATGGACTACTTATCGCTTACTGTTTCTAGATTGGCAAACCCACAACTTGAGCTCACAGCTTCCCACATATCACCGCCGTGTCCCAAGAGGGACACCTTTCTTTATCTTGTTCAGAAGAGCCACTCCCCATTAGCTGACATTATCGCAGAAATAGCTGACCCTGCTTGAAATGTGTACAGTGCTTTCAATGACACGCGCGACGATCAGTAACACCTGTACTCCACGGAGGTCGAGGGTCTACCAGTCGAGCTCCAGGCAGAGGAGTCGGGCTCTCTCCACCTCAATGATTGTGAGCAGCAGCAGCAGCATTTGCTTATTTCTGGAAACTCTCTGAGTGGGGGCACAGTGGTTTTGAACCCCCTGGGCTCCACCATACCACGGTTGGTTGAAGGCATCATGGAGAGCTGTTCCCACCGTTCCCCCACGTGCTTATTACAGGAAGTAAATGTGGTAGGGGTAGCAAGCCCAAGTACAAGGCCTGGGCCCGCATTAGCCGCTGCCTTTCACACACACGCACACACACGCACACACACGTGAGCGCACACACACGTGAACGCACACACAGAAACATGATTGTAGTATAGTACCCAATTCTCTTATAAATTATCTTTCAAGCCACACATTTGTTTAGATACACGACTGTGTGAATGTATAATTACAAGTGGGAGTTTCATCAGTCATATAAATAGTCGTCTAGTGACAGCTGCGGATTGTTCCGTTACGAGAGGAGCAGGCGTTTAAACAGTCGTGTAGGTATCGTGTTTTCTCCTGCGCCACCGGCGGGGACTAAAGCGTGGGTATCATCCGCACCTCGCAGCCGCCCCCTCTCCTCGCATGCAATCCGCGGGCTTTCTCCTCTGCGCTAAGTCCGTTTGGAGACCACGTGGCACACGGAGCCGCAGCCGTTCTTCCGCGTCCCCGCCTCGGGGTCGTCGGGCAGGCTGCCCGCCCCGTCCGCGGGCGACGAGGCGACGGCATCGTCGCGCTCCGCCTCCTTGCTCGCCAGCGCACCCTTGCATTTCCTGATAATCAAACGACGACAAAAACGAACAACATTCACCCGCGTGACAACTCCATTGGGTGGTGGAGGGCTGTCGTTAAAAAAAAAAGTTGGCATTATAAGCGACAAGACGATCTAACCCAAAATAAACTCATTGTGAATCACATGATTTGGTCGTGACAGCCTTTGTGTAACATTAATATCCGAGCGGAGACCGCGCTACCGCCGGTGCTGTGTCACTGTCCTGAGATCGCTTGTGTGGGGTGCGCTGCTGCTGTGTGTCGGCTTTCCCCAGGTGCCTTCCGCTCACTTGTCCCTGTTGAAGACGATGAACTCCTGGCGGACGTTCTCCAGGAACTCCTGCAGGTGCTCGTTCTCCTGCTGAGGGGGGCGACACGGCGGGGGTGGAACGCATCGTGACACGAGCATCGCGACACGTGCGCATCGACCGGAGAGAATTGCGCATGTGCCTCTCTCGCATCATGAGGCTATCCTCTTTCTGGCTTACTAAACACAGGGATTGTCACTGAGCAAAGCCGTCACCTCGAACCGGCATGATTCTTTGAATGGCATCAGAGGGGTGAATCGTTGAAATTCTCCAAATGGTAACCTCCAAAGTTATTCTGTGTTTGTACCAATTCTGTGTCCGTCTAACTTCGCGGTGCGTATGACACCACACACGGTGGAAGCAGCGGTGCCGCGGTTAGCGCACTCCGTCACGAAGCTGGTAACTCAAGTTTTATTCCCACGACAAAGTTTGGTCAACGTGTGGTGAAGTATGGTCAAACGACCCCCATGACCCATACGGCGTCGGAAGGTCCTCATCCAGCAGCGGACTGTCAAAAGGGCAGGAGGTGTAGGGGCACCTCTCGTTTGTAACGCCACTCGCCGCCCACCTCCATATATCTCGACACGTAACGTCTACGGCTCACCCCTTCATTCACACCCCATTGCCCCTTCACTCACACCCCATCGTCGTCGAGCGCCAGGTGCCTAGTGCTGCCCCCATGCCCTCCTACCGTCCGCCGTCCAGCTGAGCAGCGTACCGAGTGCGAGCTTTCCTTGCTGCCCTCGCGCATCTTGCTTTTCGCCAGTCGCTTCTTCTTCTTGTGCAGCGGCTTCGCCTCCAGGATCATCTCCTCCAGCTCGAACGTCGGGTCGCAGTTCAGCTGCCCTTTCTGAGCAGGCCACACACCAAGACAGAGGGAACAACTCATGGCCAAGCAACAGCCGGCAGAACGAAACGAAATCATTGTCGTCAGCCACGATCCATCCGCTGCTGGATGAACGCTCATCTCGCACGCTCTCGCGATGTTAAACATCCGTCGAGTTACTCAGCAGAAGGCGATTTCATCGTTCCGTCTCTGCGACGGACGTCATCTCAGGCGTGGTGCCTCCTCTGTTCTTCATCTCCGACTGCTTACTTTTCTTGACAGTCAAGTTGATGCCTCTACCTTGTGTATCAATTATCTAATCCTCGTGTTCCTCTTCCTATCTCTCATTGTAACTCTCTCAATGCTTCTTTGCACCATTTTCAGCTTTTGTTCCAATTTTCTCTATGTCTGTGTTTCTGATCCAGGCGTATATGATTCAAATCAAAACAAAATAAGCCTCGTTAATTAAGGACTATTATACGCCCGTATTTGCTAGTTATATTCCACGTGCGATTGGCATCATGTCAGGGTACAAACATATTTGCATCGGTAGTGCTCGCAGTGAGCAGTGTACCACCCTGCAGCGGAGAATGGTCGTCCCCAGAAGTTGGCATCACAGAACTACTTCTGAGGTCCCTTCAAGGGGCCTCGCGATCCACACGTGGTGGCCTCATTGCTTGTAATGCTCTGAAAGAAGTCTGCATCATGAGAGTTGAATCATCACGGCTGGACCAAGATGGAGGCCGCACCTTCTCAGCTTGTATTTTGTGTGCGGTGGCGAGGCTGAAACTCCCGACTTGAGAAGCGAGCGACGTCCTCGACTCCGACCCGGCCGTTGGTGCTCTGATGGGAGCTCAGCGGCGTGAATTATCATTATTACCCTTAATAACCATTACGCCAATGTCATTTCACAATACACTCAATACTATTTAATTTTCTTATTCCATTTATTTGCAGCGTTTATAAAACAATCCGACATTATTTTAAAGAAATCAATAAGAGCCATTTCGTGTTACGACATTGCTGTATCTGTGCGTTTGTGCTCCACATGAGCAGTGGCCAAGCTCATGACGCAGGTCTCCCCCACGCCCAATACCGCTCCTCCCTGCTCACTCCACGGACCACGGCAAGCCGCCACCGCCGCGCCCTCACGAGCACCTCCACTCACCTGCTCGTGGTACCCATGAACCGTCTGGAACTCTCTCCCACTGCTGCACAGTGCAGCAGCAGCATCAGCAGCATCCAAGCACGATTCACCTTCAAGCAGAAGCTCAATGCCCTCACCTATCCCAGCACCTGTCTAGACTCAACAGCATGCTCTTCTCCTCTGTCTGTGACTGTTTCTTCTCTCAGATAAAAAATAAAATATGTGCCTCCTTTATCTCCACGATGCCAGTCCCCACTGCGTTGTGCAGTGTCTAGAGAAGCAGTAGCATTTAGATGCCACCTAAACCCCTAATGTGAAGTGTAAATTGCAACCATCGTGGACACAAATATAAACAATACAGCCACAATGTAAACCATTGCTAACAATCTGTGCAATATCCATTCATCACAGTCTCCATTGTGATGATAAACCGAGGAATGAGAGGTCTCAGGATTGGCTGTCAAAACGTCCGGAGATGAAATCACCAAGGTTGGAGAGTCATCTTGCTGGGGAGACACTTCCTTACCCACAAATGTTTAGATGTTCAGCCTAAAACCCAATGGAGCCACAAATGAATGCATTTACACCAGATGAGATGTACCAGGCTACTCACATTTGGCAGGAAGGAGGGCGTCACCTTCTTCTGGAGCACGGCTTCCCAGTTGACGTCAGCGAGCAGCGGCGAGCCCTGCAGCCGGGCGAGGCTCGCCCAGCGGTTCTCCGGCTTCAGACACAGCAACTGCACCGCGGCGGACGGAACAGGGACACGACAGATGTTGAGGTGTCCGAGCGTGTCCATTAGAAGGTGCGTGTTAACCAGGCGTGTTAACCAGGCGTGTTAACCAGGCGTGTTAACCAGGCGTGTTAACCAGGCATGTTAATCAGGCGTGTTAAACAGGCGTGTTAACCAGACAAGTTTGGAGGAACAGAATTGCCAATTCAGATTTGTCCACTTTGTGATATTACATACTACTTATATTCCACAGCGTGGCACTCTCCTTCCGGCCAACGTCTAAAGTGCCACTCTGCGAGGAGCCCCGCGCAAGTAGACAGACTGGCGGCCGTGCGAGTAGGCGCCGGCCAGCTCGTTATCTGCCTCGTATCATCGCGATAACACGTGGAAGAGAAGCCCAAGTATAAGAAAGGTCACATGGATTTGAAGCCGTTTTACACTTCACCATAAACGTTTGTGTTCAAGTTTTTGTGTCTCACAAGCAGTAGAGTAGCAATTTGTGCGCTGCGCTACGAACCCGGCGAGACGAGATTGATTCCTGCTCATGGGTCAACATCAGTGTCGAATATCTTAACTGGTCCTGGGCCGAGGCTGACTCACCCTTAGACGAGTGCCGTGTGTAAAGATTAGCACTGGGGAAATAAAGGTGGCCAGGCGTGGTGCTTGCCACCCACCCCTCGTGTACCGTACCGGCCTAAATAGGTGCTCGTTAACAGCACTTGGCCCAACAGCCTGTTAAAGGCTATACGGTGGATCTTAGTCTTTGCATCTCATGGAGTTGCACCGGCTCTCCACAGGGAGATGGGGCCCAGCTGCTGTGACAGGCGGCACCGTTAACCGCCACGAATTCAAATCTTTAAATGACGAGAAAACTCTGCGTAACAGAAACATCAGTGCAGGCCGGAAAGCGAAAAGCTTCGACGACACAGTGTACAGAAAGCTCTCAGCACAACGACATCAACGTCGCCCACCAATGCAGACCCCCGCAGCAGCTGCCGCGACCGTGACCGGTGTGGCCGAGGAAGCGTCGCGGCATGCCAGAAACGGCACCGGCTCCCGGGGGAAACCACAGACCTGGCAGGGCCCCCGCCACACCGCGCCACACCGCGCCACACCCCGCCACACCGTGCCACACCCCGCCACACCCCGCCTCACCGCGCCGCTCGCGACGTCACTTCACCTGCCTCGTGAAATGAAGCTCTCGGCCCAGTTTGGAAATTAAATTTCACTCTGGTTACTTTACACCACACTGGGCGCGATTTGCTTTGTTAGAAAGCAAAACGTGACAGCCCTCTCCAGTCTCCGTTCCAGGACCGCGTCCCAGGTAACGGCACAACAGGGATAATGATCCCAAGGATGACAGATAATGTTGCTCGGCGCTCCGAGTGTTCCTTGGCAAGAGAGCGTTACAGCAACTATCGGAGGGTGCGACACGGCTTCTCTCATTGTGGGAGTACCGTTATTACCACGGGATTGTGCTTATGAAAGGTACTCTTATTATTGTAAATATATTTTAATTATTGTTACATGATTGGGCAGTGACATTATAAAGACTCTGACATCATCAGACCCATGAGGTAATTATAACGGACGGTGGATGCAATGGGGGGGGGGGGGGGCAAAATTTAGGAGATCTCCCCCCGCCCCGTCTTGAGACCTCATAAATATTGATTTCATCGACAAATTTGGGATCACCCCCCCCCGTCCCTTGGTAAGTTTGTGGATGCCGTGTGTGGCGAGAACTCCTGGCACCCGCCCCCCCCCCCACCCCGGGACGACTCGGCACCCTGGGGGCGGTGGGCAGGCGAGGGGAACGAGAGGAAGAGTCTGCAGACTCCCACCAACTGTCGACCGGCTTCGTCCTAGCTGGGACTCATCTGTACAGTGCTGTCGTGATGGGTTTCTGATATGCCAGATGGGTTTTCTCGTTATTTTTCATATTCGAATCACAAAGTCATCGTACAAATAAAGCAGTTGCGATTTCCTGAATCTGCAACAAAGTGAGCATGCAGCACATGGATAGGAATAGAGGTAGGATGCTTCAGCAGTCCGGACTGTAGTAAATGTATGCCATGAGGCCATCACATCATGCTGCTGCACATATACCGCAACCAGGCATTCCCCCATGCGCTACACGTTCAGTCACCTGCTCAGTCTTGCCACAGTCCAGCCTTCCCCTCGCTCAGCAGCAGCGGCTCACCTTGCGCAGAAGACTGGCCATCTCCTGCGACCAGCAGGAAGAGTAGTGCACAGACTTGGTGTCCACGATTTGCAGGATCTCATCTATAGTGGTACTTGAATGAATCTCATATGGCCTCTGGGACAAGTGAACACAAGGTATTGACTTCTTTTAGCAAAATTTTATGGTAACACTTCATTGTCCAAATATAATACAACGCTTAGTAAATGGGCCATATATTTTAAGCATTTGACAGTCTTGCCACAAATTTATATTTCCATTAAAAACCTTTTAACTGGCCTTGACCTTGTAAAAATATTCAAAAGATCAATTAAGTGATAAACAAGAAATAGTGCAGTTTCCACAATATACGCCTTCGTGCTCAATTTTCCCAGACAACGTGGGCACTGCAGCACGCGTGTCTCTCAGCCACCCACAGTGGGCCCTCTCAGCCACCCACAGTGGGCCCTCTCAGCCACCCACAGTGGGCCCTCTCAGCCACCCACAGTGGGCCCTCTCAGCCACCCACAGTGGGCCCTCTCAGCCGGGCCCCGTATTGCCACGCAAAGCGGAGGGGGGTGTCCCCACCCAGCCCGCACTCGGCCCCCGTCACGCCCCAAGATGCAGGGCATCCCAAGTGCCACGTCACCCCCCCAGGCCGCGCCGCTGCTCTAAGCGCCGCACCGCTAGCGCGTCCCCTCCCCCCCCGTTCTAAAGAAATCCCATATTGCCGCTCGAGAGGGACCTGGGGAAGCGTTTGCCGACAGCATACTGTGAGGTTGCCGGCACGGCACACCGGGAGCAGCAACACACCGGCACACCGGTCGCGCAATTCTGCATCGCTTTCCTCGTCAATGACGTGCCAATAGACGGTTCGTAACGTAAAAATAATAAAGACGCTTTTCCGTCCTATCGCTGCCTCTGTGAGCTTTTAAAATATTGATGTACATTTTGTTCCCCCTTCAAAAGGTTATATTTATTACATTGTCCATGTGCGGATGTCATGAAAGTTTAATGCCGCTGCCTGTCACATTGTTAAAAACATCTTGACTGCATTGAATAAAAGTGTCAACAACTTCACACACGGTCTCTGAGAAGCATGTTGTGGTGTGTGTGTATCATAGTAACATGTAGATGTTGAGCGGTAACTTCTGTAATCAGACAATGGGATATACTTACTTCACATTGCGCTAAGTAACAGAAGAATAGTTTAGTTGTACTGTATGCTAACGAAGACAGTAGATTATTGTTTAATGCGTCTGTATAACAGATTTTATCGTGAGTCAATGATAAACTATAGCCATGTTATTTGAGCAGAATAAAAATATCATTAAATTAAATTGTATCAAATATTGATTTGGGTTAAAATGTAGGTCCCCCAAAGAGATGCAATCCCAACAAATCTGCGAGGACTAATGATCCTAAAACAAATACAAGTTTGAAAATGTAAGTTTCGGTATGAAAATAGGTGACCCAAAAAAGCCATTCCCTACATTTACACATGACAAAGTAAAAACACCCAGGGGATTTTTTACGAAGCCATCTCATCGGCCAAGGGGGAGCAAACGAACGTTCCCTCGGCCACCGCGAGTAAGCCGTGAGTGCAGCGTGCACGCGGTCCGCGCTACGCACCCATCCCCGCAGCAGCTCGTACGCCGTGACCCCCAGCGACCACCAGTCCACGGCGGGCGAGTACCGCGGGGCGCCCTCCACGTACGAGCGGAACATCTCGGGAGCTGAGTCGGCGCAAAGCGAGGGGGGCGGCAGAGGACACCACAGCTTCGTCACTGTCGGCTCAAACAGCTCCGCTAAACGTACAACGTCATTACGTTCTTATTGATCATTATTATGAGTGGTAGTCGAGCGACGCGCGAAAAATCATTTGACGATTATTTTGAAAGAGCCTGCTTCAGCAGCAGCTTCTGGGAGCTCGTGTGTATCCTCGCCTGTTTGTTTACAAATGAACAATTCGTTGGTTGGCAAATGCCTTCCAAAAGACGGGTATCTGTGCGGGAGGTGGGAGTGGGGACTGGATCGGCCACTCGGCACCCGGCACCATGCCGTGGGGGTGGCACACCACCTCTTGCGAACCGCCGATCTATCTACACGATCAGAAATTGATATTAATTTCCCTTCCTCTGTCATCCATCCTTGTAAGTTGTTTATTTCGGGGGGGGGGGGGGCATGCCTTGCCCCACGGCATGTCTGATTCTGCGGTATCACGAGCCGTGTGTCATATCGGGCTTAGAGCATATGTTGCACATAAACCAGCAATACTCTAGAAGCTGAAGTCAACGGGATGTGTGGAAAGCAAAGGGAAAATGCAGAATTTAACTTACACGCTGTAAACAACAGTTTGAACACCCATTACACACACAAGTGATGGATCAGCCTTGGAGCTCTAAGAAAATCAAATTTTCTTCAACATATTTACACGTAAATATAACATATAAAATCTATGTTAAATGAGTCGTAGCTAAAATTATTTAGTCAGTTTAAAAAAAAAGATGTAGACTTGAATGATTGATGCACCTATCATAAACACAGCATAAAATGCAAACTAATGCCCACTTCATATTTGTATGTTCTGGCAACCACATCCAATATCGTGAGCAGCCTAGACATGCCCCTGTACAAATGCGAGGGGTGTGTCTGTGTGTATGTAAGCGGTGTGTCTGTGTACATGCCAGCGGTGCGTGTGTGTACATGCGAGCGGTGTGTCTGTGTGTCTGTGTACATGTGAGCTGTGTGTCTGTGTGTCTGTGTATATGTGAGCTGTGTGTCTGTGTACATGCGAGTGGTGTGTGTGTGTGTACATGCAAGCGGTGTCTGTGTGTCTGTGTACATGTGAGCGGTGTGTGTGTGTACATGCGAGCTGTGTCTGTGTACATGCGAGCGGTGTGTCTGTGTACATGTGAACTGTGTGTCTGTGTACATGCGAGCGGTGTGTCTGTGTACATGCGAGCGGTGTGTGTGTCTCTTGGGATGGAAGGCAGCGCCATCTCACCCATGTAGGGCTTTGTGCCAGCCATGGAGGACGCCTGCTCGCCTTCCTTCACCACAGTGGCAATGTTGAAGTCTGTAATGTGTGCATGCCCTGCAAGGAAACGGTGTCAATGCAGCATTACATGACACATCGGTTCTTTGATTAACGTGGATTCTTACACCAGGCCTGGCTCCAGCTACTCTCGGATTGGGGGGGGGGCAGTAGAGCTGTTGTTTGGGGGGCCACCTGAACACCCCCTCACCACACACTGCAAGTGCCAGCCCCGTCTTACGCTCACAGTACACAGCGCAAGCCCTGCATTTAAGAATATGCGCGTGTACGGTTCACTCGGGCTATATACATGTTATATTTACGCGAATGGAACACACACAAGATATGTATTCCATAAACAGATCGTTTGAGACAATACAAACGAGGCAGTGCAAAGCAATGCTCGATCGAATCATTTCTCAGGAGTACCAGCGAGGTGAACTGCTACATCCATTTAATACTTCTCATAATAATAGGACTGCTATACTACGTGTTCCCTTGCTATGACTCTTTCCTTCTTTAAATGTGGAACTGCTGGCTATCACAGTGGGCCCTACTAACGTGCATGTCAACATTCTGACGAATGTTGAACCGTGGCTACTTGGCCGGTGTGACCGTGCTCACCGCGACCGGACCATGGGACATATAGCAGCTCAATTCCTGATTCCCCAATATGTAGGGGGAGGCATCGTCACAGGGATGCAGCACCCTTTGACGCAATCACCTGGCTCAACCACCTCAGTGTAAAATCACAGGAGTAGGTCTACATCGAGAACAGCTGGATGAACAAAAAGAAGATGATCTATGGGTACCAATGGAACCGACAGTCCCAGGTGTTTGCTGCACAATTGAAATTTGTAAAAATATTCACGTGAAGGTTTCTTTGTCAAAATAGAAATACAATGCTTTCATAATATTTGACCCCTGTTCTATACCCCTGGCTGCGCCATATCACCAACACACTGTGGACCGCTGCGCTGTGTGCAGGGGTAGCTGCACAGGGTGTTTGAATGAAAAACACTGAACGGATCTGCCGATATTTTCCTGCCAACAGGCAGTGAATTGACGACTTATGCCTCCCCCGTATGCATTATCCCACCACAGCAGCTTATGATTTCTTCTTCAGTGCCCCAACTCTCAGCGAGAGCTGCACAAGCAGGGAATAAGTCTGCTACTGATGTGTCGTCATCCGCCGCACACCCTGAGGGATTAACCTATGTGCAGTGGAAAAGGTCCCCGGGCCCCGGGGTCTTAGAGAGGCGCTGCCTTGGAAGCTCAGAGCCCACCAACGGGACCAGAGTGATAATGCCAAACAGGCCTCTTAACAATTGCCCAGTGAAAAGATCAAATCGTGTTTATGTATGGTTGCGAGTGCTTTTGTATGCCTGTATATCTGGGCGGTGTGCGTTAGCATGCTTAAAACATCATCACCGCCACCGCCACCACCGCCGCCGCTTACGGCTTCCCCTCCTATGTTATCATTCAAACTTGATATTGTGTCACTATGGCTGGTGTTGGCTGGAGCCGGATAATTGCGTCAGGAGTAGCGGAGTGTATCACTGTGATGCCTCCTTATTGTTTGTGAATCACCCATCGAGACGTCATGCGTGCCATGGTCTGTTCTGGGTGACCACAGTCGCACTGCAAGAGTGCAGCCCTTAATTTGGATTCGCGTTTGACATCAGTACACAAACCCGACCACCAAATCGGTCTCGGGATTCTGCCGAACCCCATTAGGCCATTAACGTGTACAGTACAAATATATATACAGTACAGTATAATAATGTGCTTGCTGCAATAGTATTGACTCCAGCAAGGCGAATGCAACACTGTATATGAATTGGATTATATCTATGAAATTTTAATGACTGCTTTACATCTCGAAGCAAGGCAGCATTCAGATGGGTCGACCCGTGGCAGGCTCCGTGGAGACATTAACATTCACTCGAATTCCCAGGGGGGCCTGGCGAGAAGGGAGATTGTTATCGGCACTGTTCTTCACAGCTCTCACGTCTCGAATGAATAATACAACAGGTGCATGAATTTACTTTTAAACAAAATATTACAATTACAACGGTGCGGTTCACGTGTCGCCCGGTGCCGCTTCTGGGGCTTTGATTGGTTTGAAGCGGTTGTGATAAATGACGAAAATTGGACAAATATGGAGACAACTTTAATTTGACAATGTTTAATAATTGATATAGCATTCATAATTACCTTTGTGGAGCATGCCCAGTGGGGTGGGGATTGTTGGATGTAACGACGACGACGGGGAAACACTGTGCTGCTAAATCATTCAGGCTGCAGGTGGCAGCTCTATTGCTCGGGAAGTCCACAGGATCATCATCACTGTCATCGGCCATGGCCAATCCACTGCTGGATGAAGGCCTCCCCCATCTCTCACAATTCTGCAATGTAATAATGTCCATTTCCTAAACCCCTTGTTTAAAAAAAGAATGTTAATAATTTTCACGCTTTTTCTGGCGGCGAACTCTCGCAGATGCTGAACCTAGGGACAAGTGATAGAAAATGATGTCGTGGGATCTGACATGACCTCTGATCTTATTTGCCTCTGGTCAGTTGGAGGCAAATGACAAGCTGAAGCAATCCTTGAATGATCTTCCTATTGGTCAGACTAAATTGCTTTCCCACTTGATGACGGACGCTTGTGTTGCGCCCGAAACGTCGTGATTTAATTTATTTTATACCTACGTGACTTTACCGAAAGAACCAAATAGTATATATTCTAAAGTGCCACAACTTTATGAGTAGTACACGAAATAAAAGCATGTTACGCACATTATAATGAGAGGGAGTACATGAAGTGTATCGTAATTGATAACCAGCGTTCCATGTGTTCTCTACTGCCATGTATATTTTTTTGTAAGTAAGATGAAGGAAAATGGGAGCGAGAACAACGTTTCAAAATTGCTTTGTAGAAACCAATTTCCTGCCACTTGGAATGGGTTTTCAGAAGCTCAGTGGGAAGTGTCTAATGCAGAGTGAAATATGTATGCAAACAGCCAAGGGCATCTTACCATGTTCATCAAGAAGAATATTGTCTGGTTTGATATCCCTGTTTAAAAAAACAACAATCATAAACACAGATTTAAAATACTAATGTTTCACATGATGATTTTCATTCAGCTAATTCACTTCTATTACTCGATGAATTTTCCTGGTCTCTGACCAGAAAATACACAACATTAATTGACCGTTTGCTAAAATTACTCGAAGGTATTGGTAATGAATGAATCATTTGAAACAAGCAATCATATTTGTATTTCCCATTCGGTGCACACTCCCGCTTAATGATGCGTATTGGTCATCATTAATATAAGTAGTTTGATATAAATCAGTTGTTCAACATGTGTACACCACTGATTTTTACTTTGTTATATATCCGTGGATAAATCTGCAGCCCTGCAGAATCTCACTCAGAGCTCGAGGGAGCTCACTATAGAGGGTACTTGGCCTACTCTTCCATGCTTCACATATACTGTAAACAGTACGTAGTCTCTATAATTCACCCTCTCATCACAGTGGGAGATGCACTGCATGGGAAGGAGTGGCTGTTAAAGGGGCTCTGCTCTTAGTCCATGGAACCTTTAGTGTAGTAAAACTGAGAGTGACCTCCAGTGGGCCAAGATCATCTACAACAGGATAGTACGACCTTGCAAAATCAACGCTTTTAGGGGTGTAACAACGCATACATTCATCGATTCATCTACTGTACTTTCTTAAGCTCCCAGTACTTATGAAATCACCACGGCCGAGAATCATAGCAGACGAATGGCATCGCATTTATTCTCGCTATTTAACAACTCAAAAAATAAACTTGAACAATTATTAAGCAAGTCTCAGTCCTGTGTGTGTGTGTGCGTGTGTGTGTGTGTGCGTGTGTGTGCGCGTGTGTGTGTGTGCGTGTCCAGGTAAGTCCCCCTATGTCCCCGCTTGCCCCTCCTCCTCCAACACTCTCTGTGCAACTCCCGCCGCGCTCCGCCGCCGCTCTCCTGCCACAAGCGCCTCTCTGTGCTCGCAGCCCAGCGCCTTCTCAATCGCTCGCCTCACGGGACAGCCACAGGTTGAAGCTTGGCGTCGAGTGTTTGTTTGAACTTGAGCATCGTTTTTCAGCATGGGGTTCGAGAAAGGGTTCGAGCATGGAATCATAATGGATCCGACCATGGTTTTGACTGGAATTGCTGATATGGGCCATCACACATACAGGAGAACCTTCATTGGCCATGACACACCTTGTCGATATTATCACAATTAATGTTTCCATATCACACAGACCTCTATACAGCACCCACCAGTCTCTCCACAAGTATACATTTAAATCTGGTTAGGCCCACTGGCTTTTAGCTCCACTCTGCACTAGTTTCTTATATTTATTTAACAGTACTCACCCTTCTACTACTGTTACTCTGCCTGCATGCCTCTTGTATTACTACACTTGTTTAAGTATCTCTGAACTGGGCACCCTTCTTATCACGGTTACTCTTACCCATTATTAATAATAATAATCAGTTGGTACACTTACATCACAGTTTGTAAGAATCCATTCAATGTAACGGGTCCACATGATCCCTTCAGCCCCTAAAGGCTTCTACGTTCACCACAATTTAAACAACAATTTATATTTCAACCGAATCACATTCACTGTCGTAACAATTCATCGAATCGTGTGGAGAATCATTGCAAACACTGCTAGGGGGGGTCGCGACGTGTCTCGGTGTCTTCCCAACTATCAATCACCACACAAAATGAGCTCTGATTGAATTCCCTGCGCTGGCCCAGACGTCACCCAGACATCAAGAAATCTGTGCAGTCTTCTCAAGTATCGTGGTAGCTGTAAAAAGTGGTGTAATAATGCATTGATCCATCGATCAAAGATTACCGGGGAACAGCTCATCTCCTAAATCTTTATGCCACCTATTGACTGTGGTGATATATAAATAGAAAAATCGGTTCCAATTACAACTTTAAAGAGATTGTATTGAATTTTCCACTCTGCTTTGCATTCCATCCTTGATTTAAAAAAAACGTTGCAGTCAGCCGGTTCTGTGCGTGCACAGTGGCCCACGTCCCCGAGCCGAGCGCCGCCGTCATCGCTGCGGCTGTGCACGACAGCGCGCAGTGACAGCGCCAGCGCGTCATGCTGGCGTGGGGGGTTGTGGTGGGGGGACTTGCCCGGGCCCAGCCGGAATTACTCCCTTCCAGTGGCCAGCCGCCTCATGACGCCCAGGGGGGTGTTTCTGCAGGTCCTGCCGCCGCTACAGTTTTCACGGTTCCACTGACACTGTTCGGGAATGTGCTGGGACCGTGGTGTGGTCGGGGTGGGAGGGTGGACGGTGAACTAGACTGGTTTTCTTTCGGTCATGAAAATGGATTTTCTCCTTGAACTTGATCTGTTTTTCGACTGATGGTGATTACGTTCCATTTGTGCATGCCAGGAGTTACCGCTGCTTTATTGTCTGGTAATTGATTTCCCAACATTTTTCTCTTTTTTTTTTCCCCTCGGTGTTCCGTAGGTTTTATTGCCATTGTGAATTGCTATCATATGTTGTGTTGTATTTAAGTACTGAATAAATAATTTTCCTGATCTTTAAAAATTGTGATTCCATCGGTGGAATTTTTACATTCACATATCAAAATATAGCTCTTATCCTGCATCAATGCTGTGTCCTGGGCTGTCTGATACAAGCTTTAAAACTTGTTAATGAGACCACAGACTAAGTTCAGGCACGTCATAATTATTTCACTTGAGTGACATCATTGCGACATCCTTACAGCTTAATAAGGCAATGCAAGTGACATCTCTACAATGCTGACAGAGTGGCTGGTCATGATATTGCTACATTCTCTATGCATTAAATATCAGCTTCTACGCCCCAAAAATGAGAGATGTTTTAACATCACCGTGAGAGCATGAGACAGATCCCACAGTGAGCCTTGCACTGAATGAACGATTTCTCTAGAGCTGGCAACAACAACCCTGAACCCCGTGACACAGCGAACCTAAGTAGCGGTGCTCCTGTGATTGAGTTTGGTGTACCGTACGCGTATAAGCAATGCTTTGTTGTGCGGCACAAGGAGATCCCATCCCACTCTGCTTTCACAGCTCAGAGACAGTTTTAAAGCCTCACTTCGTCTTACCCACGGGGATGAACACAAGAGCCTCTTTGTCGTCAATAATATTTTCAATGATGGCTCCCAATAAAAAAGATATCAAGTGCCCGTCGTGCCACGTGTAATGTGTGATATCGGACAGACCTCACAGCAGGTGGCTTCCCAACACATTTATTTTAACGCACCATGCTCACACATTGTGCGAACGATGCGCGAGATGAGGTGCCGAATTAAGACATGGAGAGGAATGGTGGCCCATGCTGAAACACATACACGTTGCCATGGCTGCAATATCGTGGTTTCATATTCCACTCGAACAACTTTAAATAAATTGTATTCTTAGGTTTTTTCGGTAAACCTAAGAATATGAATCCTTGCAGTCACGAAAGCTTCAAATCTAGAATTTAAACAAATTGATTTAAGTCCCTGTGAGCACTGCTATTTTTGTTGTTTGACACACAGTTGCTGAGCACACATCCCAAGGCCTAAAATGACAAGTATCCAACAACAAACAGCACGATCAAAGTTGTAATAGATAATAGTCAAGGCATTTCTTGAATTGAGCAAGGTTATCATAAGAGCTAGCGAAAAGAAATAAAAAGGAATTCCAAAAAGCAGCAGAGCAAGAGAAGTTGCAGAAAAAATTTGTGTAGTGAGTGGTTGGATGAGTGAGTGAGTAGGGGAATAAGCGAGTGAGTCAGGGAATGAGCGAATGAGTAGTTGGGTGAGTGATATTTATGGGAATGGTCGTCAGTCAATTGCTCTCAGGTAAGGTTCATTGAGCTAAGAAGCTATTTTTCAGTGGTGACCCAGAAACCACAGTAGTAGCAATATAAGAGTGAAAAGGGGCCAACTGACCACCGGTGAGCGAGTCAATCGGTGAGTGCTGGATCGCCAATCAGCCTGACCGCCGCTTTACATTGAATTCCACCAAGCGCGGCATTGTTACATGGAGGGCTTGTGAACAGCCGGGTCGGGCGCCAGACCCACCTGTGGATGATGTGGCGCTGCTGCAGGTAGTCAAGCGCTAGAGAGAGCTCGCACACGTAGAGACGCACCGCCTCCTCCTGAAAGCGCGTGTTCTGCTGCAGGTGGTAGCGGAGGTCCCCGCCCAGTAGGAGGTCCACCACCATGAACATGTCCTCCTCGTCCTGGAACGAGTACCTGCAGCCACGCACAGACAACTACTTTAGCGGAGCACGCCACCTCTCGTTGTGTTTCTACCTCAACGGGTCACACCTCGTCGATAGGTGGGGGCCCCGGCGGTAGCGCGTTCGCAGATCGTTGCAGATGTTTGTGGTTCAATTCAGGCGGGCCGCCCTGGTTATTACTGAAATTGTATTAATAGTAAAAATTTGCGAAATTTGAAATATTATCAATGAATTACTCAATTGGGGTTACGAATAACAACACCGCTCCCTCCTAGCAGACTATAAGCATCTGTGGAACATAGTACCTCCGTGATAACCGTGTGCTATAATAGTGGCGCAAATACCAAATGTACTGAATTATTAAGGAGAGCTAGCGTCAGGACGGTATGCATAATTGGACATTGGTGATGAAGCATTGGATGTTGGATGATGTCTATACGATGACTGCGACATCTTACAGAAATAAAGAAGCACAAGGGTGGAGGTGCGGTGGAATTTTAAGGCATTGAGTGACGAGTGAGCTGAAACAACAACACCCGGTGTGGCAAAGGCTCACACACCATGTGACGAGTTATGTTGTTTGGCTGTGTTGGGTGGTGGAGGGTCTTATGACACAAAAAATTGGCCAGATCATGATGTGGCCTCACCAAAAAAAAAATTAGGAATCAGTATTTGTACCGTATATCTTATTGTTGACTTTGGAATCCCGTATATAAAACAACATCAGCATTCCTTTCTGAAACATGCAAGCAAGAATAATATCCATCATGGTGAGAGCCAAATGTCTCTTTTTCAAAGAAAACGTATGGAAACGCAACGTTCGCATCGCATGGGCCATGACCAAAGACGCAGTGATGCAACTCATTTCGCCCAAGTAAAATAAAACAAAACACCTAAAAGCGTGCAACCTGCAAAGTTTGCATAGAGTTGTCAAAATGTTGAAGGGTGTCCGAGGCAGTGGAGATCACGACGGATTGATGCACCGATCGTAAACACGGCATGAAATGCAGACAAATGCATCACTTTTTTATTTGCAGTAGCATCTTCCAGGATTATGTTCTGGCAGCCACATCAAATAAAAATTACATCCAATATTGTGAGCCGCCTAGCCGTGCCCCTGTGTACATGCGAGTGGTGTGTCTGTATACATGCGAGTAGTGTGTGTCTGTGCATGTGCGAGCGGTATCTGTGTATCCTGAGTTGTCAGAATGTGTTGTGTCCGATGCAGTGGAGATCGCGACGGTCACGGCCGTGGAGAGGCCGTACCAGAGGTTGACGAGGAAGGTGTGCTCCAGCTCCTGCATGATCTGCAGCTCCCGGAACACGTTGCGCACCTCGTCCCGCTCGATGCACACCTGCTTGTTCATGTACTTCATGGCGTACATCGTGCGTGTGTCCCGCTTCTGGACTATGCACACCTGGGACACAGCGGAGCACGGCGCGCGTTCGTGACCTGCCGCCCCGCCCGGTTCGCCGCCTCTTCAAGACGTGCCGCGCGGCGTTACAGAGATGTGGTACGCGCCATTACGGTGCATTACCAAATCAACCGCACCTGATAAAGTGATGCATCTCAGAATATAAATAGTGAAGGCGTGACTTGCGCCGTTTGTGTATGATTATTGATATCAGATTCAAAATGCTTGTCGTCTTCATCACCACCATCTGTCTCTCTCGGCTCACCCGAGGGTGCCGTTTCAGCGGCTGTCTGAACTCATGGATTGAGACACCTTATACACAGATTTAATGGTTTACCATCTCCACAATTCACTGGATTGTAAAAATTCACTGCCACGATTGGATTCATGAATCTCGTATGTTTTTCCTGTTAAGCTTATAAAGAACCCATAATGGCTGCAAGGTTCCCATAAACTAAACCAATGTAACAAACGTTTGAACTCTTTTCTATTATAACTTTGATAGTGCTGTTCTTTGCTGGGTGCTTAACAATTTAGGTCTCTGGGCTTATGCTCAGCAAATTTGTAAAAGAAAATACTGGAGCTAGGAGATTAAGATGCTTACCAGCATCACCACCATCACCCATATCAGCATCAGTAGCATCATAAACATACTGTCATCCCCAGAGTAATTATAAAGTTTGACACCAAACTCCATATCTGCATCGACTATTCTCTGCTTTCTTCTCCACTTTCTATTCATTCAAATTTTGTCTGCCTAATTTTCAAAAAGTCATATTAATTACCATTCCCAACACGACGGAGTTTCTTTGCAGTAAATATAACATCTATTTTCGCTAAAAGGATCAACTGCATCTCTTCTTGTTGTTATTTATCTGCGTCAAAAACCTGTGAATTATCCTTGACCCTGAGCAGACCTGTTCCCTCTCTAGACGTTATGAGACGTGATCACTTCCCCTGGGTAACCTCTCCTGCATCTGGAGTGCCACATGAAGTCATAGAGGGGTTCTGGTGAAAGCCAGATTATGGTTTTAGGGTCCTATGCAAGAAGCCTGACCAGCAGGAGGCCGATGCTACCACTGGTTGCACGGAAGCTCCAATGCAGTACACACTGCACCCATTACACAATCTACACAACTTGGCTTCATATAGCATCCAAATGCCACTACATCTATCTCACACTAGACACGAACCATAAAGTTCAAGGTTTGTATTAAGAGCACAAATAAAGTATATGCTTTTTTCTATTTTGCAAAAGTCTGGTAAACGGTTTTCTTTGAATATTTAATCAACGTTCAGCCTCCAATCCAGAGGACACTACGTACGATTTTTATTTCATATAGCAGGAATGTAACTACTGTATTAAAATTTGGTCTCTGCCTGGCTATGTTCCACAACCAGATATCCCGCCGTGGTATCAAACGAACGTTGCACACTTATTTCTGAAACTGTGAATTTTAGAAATTGGTGGCTTTTTTCAGTTTACAATAAAAACACTGATATATCCGTGTTGGTGGCACAGCGTTTGGGGGCACGGGGGAGACAGGCAGAGGGGGAGAGATTGTAGGAGCAGAGGCAGCACGAGAGTGCCGAGTGAGACAGCGGTGTCACGGTGAAGTCCCGCACCTCAATCATAGTCTCGTGTGTTTACACAAACATCGTATGTTACTGCCCAAGACTCCCTGGTCCAAACTAACATGACATTAGCGGGTAAACATTATGTGCTGGCCGCCCTAGCGGGCGAGCTGCCGCTACGTGAAAACTGTACCCAAATCTGCGCCTTGTCTTGTACATTTCTGCCAGAAATAACATCCCTGGTGTTTTTTTACTGCCGGTGTTTTTGTTGCCTTCCTACCTCCCTCGTCTCGAAGCTGCAAGCGCCTTGTTTTCAACTGGCGTCGTCTCATGAAGCGTTCCCCACTTTCGATGGGGGGGGGTGGCGGTGGAGAAGGTAAATGTTCATCTTCCCGATTGTTTTAAAAGGCATTTTTGTTGAGAGAAAATAGGGGAGCGAAAGTAGTTCTGAATATCGGATGCACAGACAACATCTGATGTCCTTCCGGATTAATCCATGAACTGCTCCCCCCCCCCCTCAAACCACGAGACCAAATGGACCAACCCGGCCGTGCGCTGCAGCGTGGAAGCTCTTTTCTCTATCCCTATGCCATGACGCAAATGTGTTTGGAATGAGGTCGCTGGAATAAAGCGATACAGCAGTCGTGGAGCCAGAGGGGTGTGTGGGCGATGGGAGCGATCGCCTAACCCTTGGGATCCCTAAACTTTGTATTTTATTGCTCTTTATCAGGAAAAAAATCGTTGAATGTTTTTTTTTCCTATTAACGTTGGGCCCTATTTTTAAAGTTTGACATTTTGGGACCCACCCCCCTTCTTGGGAAGTTTCCAGATCTGCCTCCGTGTCAACACGAATGTCACGGTCGCTGTGAGCGCACGTTTATTTATTTATTAATACTGCAGTACAACCTGGTGGCTTCGCCACTGAAATGTGTACGGCTGTGTGCCCCGCTGGCTCGCTGTCCAGCTGTGCCGGCTCACGGGGTCAAACGCGAGCTGCGACTCGCGCAATTGGCTGCAAATGCGAGTGCACGCCGCATCAGTGGGCCGTGAGCGCCAGACGTTGACCGGTGGAACGGATGGAAGGGCGCAAATCCCCGGGGATGTTGAAGCAGAAAGGGAGGCTCGGTTAGAGTACCCGTTTGGTGAAACTGGATTGGCTGATGGGGAAGAATCGTTTGAAAAGGTTCAAGGCCGGGGATGGGTATTGAAGGGTTTGAATGCAGCAGGCTGGGACTGCTGCATAATAAACAGCCCTTAGTTCACTATGCGGTCAAGTTCCTTTACATGAAGATATTTTGCACGATATAAGGTCCAGGATAATCGTATATTCCATCTTGCAAAACAAAGAACACATGCTATAGAATAAAAAGGTCAATACAGTTTCAAGCAAGAAGAAAACTGATATCGCGATTATCGTAAGGTTATGACATCATAAAAACCGATATTGTATCGTGGAAAATTTTAGATTGTGACAATCATAGTCCAGCGTGAATTACGCCCCCGTTTGTAGAGAATATAGCAGCAGCCGCAGTGTGTAGACTTTTAAAGGTAAACACGCGTGTAGTTTATTTACTGGTAACTGTTATTTCACACCATTGCAGACCCTGGCTGGGCTGGACAGCTGGGAACCAGAGCATCATCGCTTATCGGGATGTTACAGCTTAAACCAAACGTCTGTCTGTGTACAACTGGTAAAGTACATGTATTACATCTTGACTTAAAGCTTTCGTGACTGCGGGAATTCATATTCTTTCGGTGAAGTCACGTAGATAGGTTCAAATAAAATAACAAAAAACTACGAAGTTTCGATCGCAACACAAGCGTTCGTTCTGATGACGAACGCTTGTGTTGCGATCGAAACGTCGTAGTTTTTTGTTATTTTTTCTTTGAACCTATCTACATGACATTACCGAAAGATCCAAAGAATACATGTATTACATTGCCCTTTATTTTACAGAACTTTAGAAACACTTGCATTTAGGTCCTTTGTAAATAATGAATGTATTACATATTGTAATGGTGGTTAATCTACTTAGAACATGCCTAAGAACATTATTGTATTACTGCCATGTGTTTCTGTCAGCATTAAACATTACACAGCCACAATCTTGCAGCATGGAACAGTAATTTCCTTTCAGTTTCAGCATGTGGACCTTGGCAGGCTCTTGTTTATACACAGATATCGACGCTGACATAATTCTCTTTGAAATGAATCGCTCTGTGGCAACTTTGTAGCAAAATGAATGTTTTATTCATTGGATTTATTTTTAAACTACAGCGAAACCCATAGCTGTGGGGGAATGTACCCCCCCCCCCCCGTCCTCCCCGAGCAAGAAATGGCTGTCCCCACGCTGTCGAAATTAAGGTTTCTAATACCGAGCATGAAGGGTGGCAGCTGTGGGCACAGTGGTTCACTCGCTGCTCTATGAACCCGGCCACCTGAGTTCGATTCCCGGCTAAAGCCAATGTCATTGGTGAGTTTCAAACAATGCACAGCAACGTGCAGAATTCGTTGGTGGGCACTGTATGCATTATGCACAAGCTATCAGCGGTTCCCACTCATTGGTGTCCAGCCTGCACTCCATTTCTGTTATCACGGGGTTCTCTCCTCATTGCCACATTCGATCGTTGGTGAGCGATATCAAAACCCACCCATCCTGGCCCCAAGTTCACCAACCCGCGCTGACCAACGTGGTGAGGTCCAGACAAAACAGCCTCTCACGACCGATACGGTGTGGCGAGGAGGCCTTCATCCAGCAGTTGATTGAAAAGGGGCTGTAAGTAAACACGGAAGGGCTGCTGCATACGGAAGGGTTCCTGGCCCCTGCTGTGTCCCACGCTGTTGCCGAACCTCCACACGGGGGGAGCCTTTTTGGCGAGTTGAGGGCGAAACTCCTTGACGGATCCTTTCCCTGTTTCCCTCTTTCCCTGTCACTCTCCTCATACCTCCATGTAGTATCTGTCTCTCCATCTGTCTCTTGCTATCTCTCCACGTTTGTCTCATTAGATCTCTCCTCCCCATTACCTTTATTGCTGTATTTTCCCTTCCCTATCTCTCCGTGTCTCCCCCACTATCATCTCTGTCTTCTACATCTGTATCGATTTCACTCTCTGTGCCTCTTCCCCATCTATCTCACCATTTCTCCCCATATCTACCCTTCTATCTCCAGGTCACTCTCTGCCTCTCTCCTGTCTCTCTGTGTCCTGTTATCTATCTATGTAACATTCCACTGCGATCTTTGGCAAAATAATTAATCAAATGACGTTGTAAAACGTTGTAAACAGTGGAACATGCAAATAATATCAGCAGTCACCACGCGATGTCGGTCTGTGGGTTTTCAGAGCAGGGAAAGTGACAGGCGTGATAGATATTAGCTAAAGGGGACACTTTTTATCGGAGACCTTGGTGGGGGTCACTAAATATCAGGAATAATTCATCATTGACTTTTGGGCTAGGCCACGTCATGATGTGGCGTATGTTTTTGTTGCGTAACCCTCCACCACCCCACACAAACACATTAAATTGTTATGTGGTGCACAAGCATTTAACGTGCCAGTTATGATTGTTTCAGCTGACCAGTACGTTGAACAATTCTCACAACCATATTTAGAAATTAGATACAAACCTACACGTTAAGTTACCTGGAATAATCATGAATAAGTCAACCCCTAGATAATTCACGTTATTGCGATTCAAGCATACAACGTTTGCACTGTACGTGGGTTCTCATTGTATCTACATTGTCATACGTAATAAAAAGCACCAATATATTTTCTGAGTGACATAAATATCATTAATTAACTGAAATTAAAAGTAATATTTTGGACCCTTCCAAATGTAACTCTGGTGAGTGAAATATAAAAACCACCACACCACGTGTTGATGAGGAATGGGCCAGTTGCAACCAAGAGTTAAGAAGTCTGAAAACTGTAATTGAATCCTATTAGAGCAGCAGTCTCATTTAATCACAATGCATCACTTGCTTTTGTGGCATTTGTTACTGACGGGAGGCATCACATGATCTATTCAGCTCGGCAGAAACGCGATAGGCAGAGCGTGGACGCTAACAGGCCAAATGGAAGCCGTCCCAGCCCAGCCCCACAACGTGCTGGGGGGGGGGGGGGGGGGGGGTCACCTATCAGGTCGCTTGAAAGCCACGCGACTCCCACAACGGAAAGCGAGCCGATCAGCCGTGGTGGGCTCCCTTGTTTGTCGTGTAACGGACCGGTAATGTGCGGTAATGTGTGGTAATGAGCTATTGGATGTCGGCTTGTTTGGGGATCGCGTGCGCATCAAGCGGAGTGCAGAGCGCCCCGCTGCCGCCGTTGCGATGCACGCGGCGGATTCACGGATTGATTACCGCACGAGGAGGTCACATGCAAGGCACAGATAGAGAGGGGGGTGGTGGGGGGCACGAATGGAAGGAGAAAACGCGTGCGGAATGCGCGCTGGGCGGGTGAAAACGCCGGGCGCGGCCGAAGCAGCAGCGGCTGGCTGCGAACTCAGGCGGGGGACGGGAACGCGAGAGCAGTCACCACGAGCGCGTGGAGGAGGTCACGTCAGAGATCTGAAAACGTCGTTAGAAGATGTTTAAAATCGGTCCCTAACCATTACACGTCACGCAAATAGCAGCTGCATCGGCCAATTATTGTTTGACATTTGGCATTGGAAATTTTAATTAAAGGTTTATAAAATGTAATACTTTACATATATGGGGGCATCTTTTATCACGTACATTTCTGTTCACATAAACTTCAGGGGGGAAATATGAAAAAATAGCTTACATTAAGTAATCCATATTATTAAATTCAATACATTTGTCAATTAACTGTGTGGTCTTCAAAGGAAACATATACATTGGGCAAATGTTTGGCCTATGGCCCTTCTTCATAACACGTGATATTTAAATGTTCATAAAAGAAATGTTCGTTTAGATTTTAATCATCATAGTAAGACTTGTTGGTAACGAGAATCTGCTAAAAATCGATGGAGTGAAAACCACCATCTGTAGAAGCAGCCTTGCTGCTAAAGTACTGTTTTAATTAATAATACTACTTAATGTTTCGGTTTTCATGACACCATTTATGCTGGGGCATCTCTAGAGTGCTTTATCTGTAAGCCAAACATCGTCTTAATTCCTGTTTTAGTCAACCACATGACATAGTTTTAAAATCCTGTGTTACATTTAACTAAAATTATAATTCAATGCAAAAAATATAAATTCTGAAAATGAGATAATTTTCCATAATTATTACATTACAAAATACAAAAACACAGTTCAGACCGCTTATGTTTCGATCAATACTGTAATTTGGAATCACACGCACACAAATAAAAGGTTGATAGTGCAGTAAAAAATGTATATTTATAAACGGAGGACACGGGCCGCTGTTGATGTAGAAGAAGAGAGACGAAGCCCACGCCACATGCAGGCTGCTGCTGCTGCTACTACTGCTGCTGCTACTACTGCTGCTGCTGCTACTGCTGCTGCTACTACTGCTGCTGCTACTACTGCTGCTGCTGCTGCTACTGCTGCTGCTACTACTGCTGCTACTACTGCTGCTGCTGCTACTGCTGCTGCTACTACTGCTGCTGCTGCTACTGCTGCTGCTTTAGAGTGTTTGATCACTCCGCACCTGCCTCGCGATGCCAACTGGCAGATCAATTTTTTCCGTGGATTAGCCCAAAACACAGCATTATAAATTAAACAGCGTATGCCATCTCGCAACAGCAGGGCACACTGCCCGAGCCGTGATCAGGCGCACGAGAGAGAGAGAGAGGCGGGGGGGGCTGGAGTACAGTGCCGTGCTCACGAGGAGACTCAGAAACTCGCCACAGACCTGGTGAGGGGGTGGAGAGAGATGGAGCATCGCGAAACTGCTCTCCAGTGGCTTAGAAAAATAACGCGAGAATAATGAGAGGAGAATAATGAGAGGAGAATAAAAACAACACGAGCGAGCGCCACCCTCGAAACGGCCTTGTCCTCTCAACAGCCCCAGAGTGAAAGTCACCAACAGACTGCAGTGAAAGTCACCAACAGACTGCAGTGAAAGTCACCAACAGACTGCAGTGAAAGTCACCAACAGACTGCAGTGAAAGTCACCAACAGACTGCAGTGAAAGTCACCAACAGACTGCAGTGAAAGTCACCAACAGACTGCAGTGAAAGTCACCAACAGACTGCAGTGAAGGAACCCCATGCTCCTCTGTGCGCCTGTTGAACGCGAACTTCTCTCCCCACGGAGGAGGGAATGGTGTCCACGGCGAGCTGCACCCTGCACCCTGCACTCTGCACCCTGCACTCTGCACCCTGCACTCTGCATCCTGCACCCTGCACTCTGCACCCTGCACTCTGCACCCTGCACTCTGCATCCTGCACCCTGCACTCTGCATCCTGGACTCTCGCATCGCCACTTCAACCCCCCGCCCTGAGAAGAATAACCACACGGCACTGTAACAAGTCAGAGAGCACATTCACGGCTCAACAGTTTATGATTTAGAATATCCAACACTAAACTTTCACTCACCTGATGAAACCCCAATGGTAAGTGAATACGGGAGAGTTTATTCACAAGCCAGATCTTGCGGTACAGACTAAACATGCCGCCCACGTCACAGATTAAGCACGCACACTCGCCATCCGAAGCTTCGGAATCTTTCCAAATAGCCGACTCCAGACACCCGTTCACGTTACTTACTGAGGAGGCTGTCACTGCAAGATAATGGCCAAGTGAAGAGGTCACCATGGACTATGACCGTTGATGCCACCGTTCCGCAGCACGCAAGCCCTCTCTGCTTCTTCCCTCACAATGATCGATTTAGGAGTTGCATCCACGGTCTCTTTTCTCAAGCTCTTCTAACAACCTTGCTCAGTGCAACTCTCATCTCTGCCAACTGTGATAGTGCTCAATCTTGACCTAAAGCTTTCGTGACTGCAGGAATTCATATTCTTGGGTCTTTCGGTAAAGTCGCGTAGGTAGGTTCATCCTACTGGCTGTGCTGTTTCCATCCTAAAAAATAACAAAAACCCAAAAAAATAACAAAAAACTACCGACGTTTCGATCGCAACGCAAGCAGTCGTCATCAGACTGATCGCAGAGCCGCAGCCACGTCGGCGCACGAGGTGCCTGAGAAATGTGACCTGTTGATGATGTAGTAACATCAGAGAGCCGCATACAACAACTAACATCGGAAGGTCGGATGGAAACATCACAGCCAGGAGGATGGAAACATCACAGCCAGGAGGATGGGAACATCACAGCCAGGAGGATGGAAACATCACTGGCTGTGATGTTTCCATTCTTCTACCTTCCGATGTGAGTTGTTATTTGCGGCTCTCTGATTTTACATCAACAGGTCACATTTCTCAACCACCTAGTTTTTTGTTATTTTTGTTATTTTATTTGAACATATCTACGTAACTTTACCGAAAGACCCAAATAATGTGATAGTGCTGTTTGTTGCTGGACTACTGTATTTGTTGGGCCTTCGGGCCTGTGCTCAGTAACTGAATTTAAAGAAACAAAATTAAAAACTCCTCCTGTCCCTTGCCAGCAGAGGCTTAGTCTCTTGAGTTCTCAACTGGGTAAACGAAAGAAACTTTACTTCTCATAGACACGTGTATTGATAGCTAAATACGCAAAGTAATTTAATGCATCCACATTCTCACTTCCAACCACATACAAATATAAATTATACAGGCCACCGGTGAGATCGGTGTTTGATTCACGTGTGTTGGTGGCTCACCACTTACCTTGCCAAAGCTGCCCTTTCCAATTGCCCGGAGAATCTGGAAGTGGTCAAAGTTAACTGCAAAACAAAAACAGATTGAACATAATGAGCAAACTGCTAAATAAGTATCCTAGCAGAAATGAGAAGACTACAATTATTATGCACGCTATTCTATTCTTGCGTATGATGGCAATACTTTTAGGAGCTAAATACCAACGTGGAGGTCTGATAGCCGAAAGAGGGCTGTCATTTTGCTGTTCATCCTCTATTGACGGAGAGCAGTGGTTTATTACGTGGTCTACAGTTTGGGTTGCATGGCCAGTGTCTGTCATTTTCCATTCATGAAGGAGATGTTGCACATCGCCCTGTTGATGTTCTGATGCGGTTCATGGTTCTACCACCGGTGTCGAGGAGGAATGTCAAAGCCAGGATGTGCGATGTTTGTGTCTCAGATGAGGTGTTTATTCTGCATTGAATGATGGAAATAGTTTCAACAAGAACATGTGAATTGTGTAAGCATCACTCGTATATATGTAAAGTAGTTTATTGTACACAAATAACTTAGTTTTTTAACTCACACTTGGACACTATTGCATTCTTTAGTACAACATTCATTGAATAAGTAAAAGACAGAAACGCATTTGGGGGCACAAATTCACGAGGCTACTTTGCCATTATTCTGCACCGCCCGAGTTTGTAGAAATGCATTGTAGAATTGCAAGTTGCAATTCACCGCAGCAGGCTCGCTGCACTGCGACAGCTCCCAGTCCACACGCAGCAATGTTCCCGAGCGGCAAGGTTCAGGCTGGAGCCAGGGTGGAGCTCGATACACAAATATCAAAAACTTGTTTCACAATTCACGAGAGGAGATTCTATAAACTGGGGGCATGGCCACGTAATTGAACCCAAGTTGGGCATGGCGATCAATTTCACGTGCCCGTCCCTACCGCAGAAAGGGTTTCACCACCGAGGATTAACTACATTCTGCCTTTGCCAGAATATTTACGGCAATGTCACCACAGTTCCAATATTCACAGTGACTAAGTAGCATATGCCCATGTCTCATCAATGATCTATTTGACGTAAAAGTGTTCGTCACTGGAATCCCTTGCTGCTCTAACCCCACACTGGTTTCGGTCAACCACACATCCCTCTGCTCGTTTGCCCCATTTATAGCAAAACTCTCGCGAACGCCTTCAACGGAAGTCTCGATAAACGTATCCCTTCTCGAGATTCCACATGCCCTTATCTAATATAATGCTACAATGATAGCCTTTTCCAGTTCTGCGTCTATGGTTTCTTAACCCGTATATAGCTATGATTTATTCAGTTCTGCCAGCATATGTTGAATGCCCTATGTCAACATCTCAGCAGTAATTCTACACTCTTGCTGTGTGCGTCGCCATGGTTTAGCAGTTTTACTGCCGTTTCCAACTCTTCTCGGGGCTTCGGCTCTTCTCCAGCTCCTCCGTGTTGTCTATCTATTGTCAATGATGTTGCCCTTGCTCCCGAGCATTCATCCACTATTCCGCCGAGCCTTGCGGTTCCCGTCTGCTGATGAGACGCTTCAATCCTGCAAGCCATGCCCCCTTCTCTAACACCTTCATTCCTGGAAAGCTTCTTGCTGCCTAATCCTTTGTAGGCGGTAAATACGTTTTTGTTTTTTAGCATGTGCATCTCCTCCATCAAATCCTCCACCGTTTCCTCCACGTGCATTTGCCAAGAAATATCGCTGTCCCGAGCCGGTCTCTCGAATGTTTTGTCTTTTGCTCGAGGTTCACACCAACCCCACGTTGAGATTTGCACTTGTATCTGCAGCCCTGTACATCGACGTCTTTAAAACGGATGCCCTTGCTAATCTCTAGCAGCGGTGCTATCACCCAACCTCTCTCGTCTTCACATCTGGTGATGTCCATGTCATTTAGCGTAATTTTATTTTGAAATTGGGTATGATAGTTAACTTGCAAGGACCCTAGAACCAAGAATCCTTGCCTGTAAACATCTAGCCGTTTACCAGCATTGATTCAAGCAAGCCTGACCGATGAAGCAGTCAATGTCGAAACCGGTGCACAGTTTTATTGAGCTGCTGCAATTATGCACTACCAGAAAGCCCTGTGGCCGATGGGATGTGTCAAAAATACTTTTTTTTTTATGTGGAAAGACATCATTGGGAAGGAGATGCAATATCTGCTTATTTATTGTGGTGTAGTGTCTGCAAGGATGCGGATTATTACATTGTCTTGCCCAAACGTTTGTTTTTACGTGTTCTGCTCCCCACATCGTCGCGGTAAAAGTCTTACTGTGTTTGCAGTAAACACGTCAGTTGGAAAATTGTAAATGATGTCATGCCAATGCACACATTACAACTGACACAAGTAACAACTTAACCCGAATGCATTTTTCACATCGTGCCCCTATTTCCATTCCTATATCATTAATCCAGTTGATACTGTATGTGTGATGTCCTGTGTCTGGCACTAATGCTCTTGACATGCTGTTGGCTAAATATAAGAATCACCAGTCATGTCCTACATGTTTTCATGAACAGTAACCGTGTGTACATAACAATTATTTTTCAGTTCAGCTTCCATCTGGCTGCTTAAAGTAATGTATGTACGTAGAACTGATTTCGCACCGTACTCCGTATGAAGCCAACCGTGTTGCGAAATAATAAGCAGGTTATTAATTAACTAGAATAAATCCGGCCTGTGTGCACTGACCCTTCACACATTTACGAAGGCAGCGGTCTCTCGATTAAAGCAGCCTTCCGTCAGCCACACGCATCGTCGTGAAGTACTTTCTCTGTGGGTGTGGGATGAGACACACGCTTACAAAACCCTCCCTGCCTGCACAGAGTTCCCTCGCCGCAAATTGAATTCCTTTTCGCTTAAAACTGCATTTAGCATATTCGCGTCAGAGATCAGGAAGTCAGGATTCAGAGTTGCGTAATTTGACTGTGAGAATTGTCATTGTTTGGCTCTGTCGGGTAGTGGAGGGTTTCATGACAACAACAAAAATAGCTAGATCATTGTGGCCTAACCTCAAATGAATTATATGTTTGTAATGTATAACTTATTCTAGACTGATGAATACCATCCATAACACAACAAGTATTCCATGATGAAATGTGCAAGCAAGAATACTATCTATTAGGTGAGTGCCTAATGTCTTTAAAAAGACGAAACTTGTGGAAACACAACGTCCAGGTCACACAGGACATGACAGCAGACACAGTGATTCAACTCATTATGCTCAAAGAGTTGTAAAATTGTTAAAGGGAGTCAGAGCCAGTGGAGGAGGAGCCATTGTGTTGCTGGGATCTCTCTCCCATCCATCATCACGTCCGGATTGAAGAACAAAGAGAATTCGAGCTAGGACGGTGAAATACAGAGGGCAATCCAAAGCAACCGCGGATAAAATGATGCTATGCATAAAATGTATGCATATGGTTTTGAACAGAGAGACCCGAATACCTGCTAATTATAAAGTGTGTACTCACTTATTGAAATTGAATGTGTGTGACTCAGGATATGACCGTGAGTTTAAGGTTACATTGTAAATCGTGGCCTTGATGCAAAGTCAGCATACTCTACTGTTGTTAAAGCATCCCCAAGTAAAACATTCCAAGGCTCTAATGTAATGTGGAACACGGTTAGAATTTCCATCAGTCACTCACAACCAAGTCTGTTATATAAAGTTGGCACAATTCACATTCAACTATTTGACTAATTAAAATTTACTTTCCAGCCAAACTTCCCAAGTGTATGCAGGAATTTTCCAAAAGTTGCAATGAATGTCTCAAGGTAGCCAAAACGTACGTAAAATATTTTCATGCAGAAATATCCCAATTGTTATTCTGGAATAATACCATAAAGAAAAGTCTATTCAGACCAACATTCTATCCTGACCAACAATGTATTGGAAATGCCAACTTTACGATCAAAATCTCTGAATAGTCAAGACTTCAAGCAGGCTTATTGTGGGATATTGCATAGCTTGCGATAACATCTGTCATTGTCCAGGTTGTATCCTGCAGGACGTACTGAGGGTAGGTGCCACTCGCAACCGTTCTCTAGCGAGACACACGGACCGTGGGTGGTGCGGAGACACTGATCTCGGACAGAATGAACGTATGTTGAACTTATTTCGCACCGTACATAGCCAACTGTGCTAATCATCGGTGCAGAATGATGATGAGCAGAGTGTGGGCGCTTGTCCTTTTTTGCAACAGGAGCTACAAGTACAATTCTGCAGCATAACCATCTGACCAAAACATTGAAATTTAAGATGTTATCAAAGTTTCGAAAATGAAGATTAAGGAAAATGAAAATCTGATAAGAAATGTTGCCAAATTTAAACAGGACACAATTGGGGCTCAGTTGGTTTCCCATTCCATTATTTAGCGAAGTAATCACGCGATTCGTAGCCCTACTCTACACCTCAGATTCACACAAATACAAGCCTGGCACCGTGTGTGCTTTGCCACGATGCATTAGCACGCAGTGTCTCTGCCCGCACGACCAATGGGGTCGCCACTTATCTCCCATTGGTGGCCTTGAGCCACTGGTGGAAGTTTCACATTCTCTTAGTGGGAACCGACTGGACGACAACTGTCGACTTCTTACAAAGTGGTGTTTTTTAATGTCTTAATAATGAGAGGTATTGCTGAGTGTGGCCATGGCCAATCAATGGAATGTAGACTTTTGGCAGTGCAGTTGTATATGATTCTAACACGACTCGTATGGTACCTTGCTGTTGAGTATGGTTAGCATTTAACACGTAATGTGTTAAGGCTGCAATCTGATATGCCTTCCCGTCTGTGACCTTGACCTTATCACCGGAGGTTGTGTCTAACACTGTAGGGTAAATTTATTGTCAATTATAAGCTTCTTCCTGTTCTCCAAAACTTGCGGACAACAAATGTTGCCACGGTTTCTTGGCTACCGCATTGGACTTGCAATGCAAAGGCCACCGGTTTGATTTCCTGGCCCTGGTAGTTGAAAAAATGGGATATTTTCTTAAATACCCCCAAATCTGTCCACCCAGTCGTGTAAATGGTTGCACGACAGTTAGTCGATTGGCAGGTCTACCACATCTGGCCAAGTTGGAAGAGTAGGCCGAGAATACCGTCTAGAGGGTCTCTCTAGAGTTGTATCTGGAAGGGGCTGCACATGCTGCAAAGATCGACCCATCGAAGCACAGCAGCACAACCAACGCAAGCCTTGGATGTTTTTGCAAATTGCAAGCACAATAGAAAAACAAGCCGGCAGTGAACTTTATAAAATAACAATAAATGGACAAAGTCTGTTTGGCCACCAAATAATAATAAAATAAACACGCTCATCCATCAGCCTGTGGATTTTCTGGACAAATTATTACGTTGGCAAACTCTGGGCCAGTTTCAATTTTCCGATTCCCATCAGCAGAGTGCAACCTCTTCAAAAAATGCTGCCGGAATGGCAAATGTTACTTGGCAAGAGCCATCTACGAACACAGTGGATAACATTTAGCACAGTACAGTAAATTATATATGTCGTATGAATGCTTTCACCCAAAGCAATGGATTTCCCCATATGCGGCCCCTGGTGGGAATTGGCCTTTCTCATCTAAAAGGTCCCCTTTACAAACAATTGTGTTTACCAGGTCAAAGATATTCAGTTATTCAGCTTCACTTTCAAATGAAAAGCTATGCTGTTCCTGGTGAGGTGGTGGCGTACCATCCATGTATGCAATGCATTACATCAGTACCTTTTAAAATGTAATGAATAATTGACAAATTGATTTCCATTTGGCAAATTGATTACAGTACTGTAAGTGCAAATGTTAAAAACAATGCAGTACATCCCTGTCATACATCGTTGTGTACACATCTATTCCGCATGGGCAGTGGCCCCTGCCCCCAGACCCACAAAACTGTCATTTTATTGACATTTACCAGAGACATTTGATTGCATTTGTTTTTATTATTATTAATGTGAGGACCTATTTAAGAGCCTTGACATGTTTAGACTCTCCCCGCCTTTAGAAATATCTGGATCCGACTCTGCCTGTGGGAATTTACCACGTGCAGTAGTAATGTGTTCCAAGTCAGAGGTTTCAATGTGTCAAAAGGTCCATAAGCCTGGCCTGTAGCCAATCGGAGAGAACGCTTTAGAGTATCCATGTCAATAATCCATATCCCCGATGTATTCACATTCACTTGTGCAACACTGCAGTTCCTTCTCACAACTAGCCACAGTAAAATGTGTTCTCAGTTTCCTATATATACCCATTAGTGCCCTCCGTACCACTGCATTCATACTATGAATGGACAATTCTCAAAGTACTTAGAATCAGGAAATAGGGAATTAATTTAACGTACAGCCCGTTGACAAGCCAGTGCTTTTAAAGTACGGTTTGTTTGACCGTACTGAACCACCCTGGAGACTACGGGTTGGTGAAGGGTGGGGGAGGGACCCAGAACCGGTTCAGACATCACTCTGATGTTAGCCATGGCAGGGAATCGAACTCGAGTCGCCGGGCTCCCAGGGCAGCACGATAGTAAACCCCCTGTGATGTGTGAGAGTCCTTAGAGCGGGTGCAGTTACGGACGGTGGACCGGGATCCAGGTGACGAGATGAAGAGGCGACCAAGAGTCGGTTATCGTGAAAAGCAGCAGACCAATGTGCCTCAAGAATATAGTGTTCAATCAGGGCACATTACTTGCCATGAAGTTCACAAGTGCAGACCTCTTATCTGTTGTACCACCCCGAATCGTGGGGTAATTAATTTTCAAGACAGGTCAAGGTGGGCAGCATAGATGTGGAGAGCTTAGAACTACAGTACAACAATGGATTTTGATACACTACCCTCTGCAGCTCACCATAACTAAAGCTATTGTCGGCCATAGGCTATGGCCTATGGATAAGAAATATAGACTCTGACAACAAACATGAACAGAAGCTAAAAGTACACAAATAAGCTTTTGCAATGACACTGAGAGACAGAAATAGGAACGCATGGATCAGAGAAAAAATACAAATCAGAGTCGTCACTGACTATGTAGACAAGTGGATTTGGGGAGGACACATTCCTCGAAGGGAGGACGGCCGATGGTCGAGACTGACAACAAACGAGCAGCCAAAGGAAGGAACTCTCTCTCCAGCGAGGATATGCAGCACAGAGGAGCGATGAGATCAACTGCTGTGCAGGGGCGACAGGGATTTTTGCACGATGAGACAAGGGATGGAAACAAGTGGAAGAGCCCTTTTTCCAGCAGTGGATAGATCATGGCTACTGATGATGATGATGATGATTATAGGATGTGTTTAGTATATATCGGATCTTTTTCTAATGTTCAATACAGATAAACAAAACGTTGTTTTTTTAATGTTTATTTTTTTATGCTAAATGAATACAGTACCGCACAAAGCACAGTATATAAAGGCTGTTGGAATGATGCAGTGTTAAGGTTTTAGTGTAGCTTCATTAAGAGCATTTATGTGATTAACACAAGGGGTGTCTGTGTATGAATAAGGGATATACATCCCGCTTTGTTCTGTTTGCTGGAGGGTTTAATTTGTGTCAGCGGTCGAGCATGCTCACAGACACAGTCGGGTTGGAGGGAATTTAAATATAGCTCGATTATCTATTATGAGAAACACCAGTGTTGCTTTAAATGGCATCAGGTTTTCCCCTGCCCAAGCAATCATTAATTCGTATCCATTTGCAGTCCTCATCGGTGGAAGTTCCACATTCCCATGGCAGGAGAAAAATACATTTTGCAGAAAAAATTTCTGTTGTCATCCCACAAATGATGTCCTGTTTTATTGGCTGTAGTGAGATATGAATCCGAATGGGAATTGAACTCATATTCTTCCAAGTGCGGGCCACAGTGCTTCCCAGCAAAAGTGTTGGTTAGGAATGAATGTTTAGAAGGTAGAATGAGAGTGGTATTAGACTCATTTTCGCACGAAGGTATTCTCAACATCATTGCGGTATTTTTGCCGATACCTGGCTTAACAACCTTCATTCTCATTAGTGCCGGAAAAGTTAGTCGATTAAGGCTATGAATCGATCAAAAATTTAGAATTTACTTATTTTTTGCTACTTCATCTTACCCCGCGAAGGCAAGAACCCCCCTCCAAGCCACACCCAGCTGATGTTGATCGTACCACCAAGTCTCGCACATCACCTCCCGTCCAGCGGCACACATAGGAACAGAGGTGAGACTTGCCTTTTACAACTATTTGTGTGCGCGTTATCCGATTAGTCGAGTAACGGAAAGGGACTGAGTAATCGATTACTTAAATAATCGCACAGCCCAGCTCCAAATCTTAAATTCCGAGACGAGGTACTGTATACTTCTGCACAAATTACAGATTTAAATATGCAAGACCAATGTCACTTTCCATGAATGTGATCTTGATAATTGTAGCCCGTTGGCATTGTAAATACAGCTCCATGACGGGAACATATGGTTCTGTATCATGGCAGCTGCATATAATATGATAATACGACTGTATCTTAGTCACCGGTTCAGCTGTCATCTCGACATCCTGATCACATTTCACGGCGCACTCTAATAATTGACTCATGAGCAGACAAATGTAAATGTTCTACAACTTCGATAATACTGTTATACAACACATTGTACACATTCTAAAAAGTCAAAATGTTCTTTTGAAAATTACAGCTATCAATAGTGTTATAGTCACTTTGTATTTTGGTAACTTTTCAAATGTGGAAGGGAAAACCCAGGGTAAAAATCTACCACGGGGAAAGAACTTGCGAACTCCAAACTAGACGGGTATCGCCAGGGCCCGGGGTCGAACCCACGTCCACCTGCGAACCAGACGAAGGAGGCACAACATATCGATCCTCGCCACGACGGCGCCCCACCATTAATGCTACATCAGAATCCGTATTTTTCCTAGAGGAATCCGATGAGCTATGAAGCTCTTCTTCACAAACAACCCACCGTGCGTGACACACGACAGAGGCGCCACCACCACCACTCACCGTCCTCGTTCTCGTCGAACACGACTCTCTTCGAGGAGTGAGTGCCCCCCATGGTCGGCCCGTGCAGCCCCCCACCATCATCACTCCATGGGCTCGGGGCGCAGCAGCAGCAGCGGCGGCGGCGGCGCCGTGGCTCCAGCTCGGGTAGAGGAGGAGGGGGGGAAGGAGGAGGAGGGACGCGGAGTTCGTCCCGTGGCCACCGAGGCGACGGCGGCGGCAGCAGCAGCAGCAGCGAGAGCCGGGAGGAGACCGCGGCTGGACTGCTGCTGGGTGGCCGCTCACAATAAATAGAGAGATGCCCCCCCCACCCCTCACACCGTGTAGCCTCCACAGACTGTTGGGGCGAGTGCTGTTAGCGAGTAGCAGCACCGATGAAGAGCCGGCACTGTGGCACACGAGGGGGTGGGTGGCCAGCACCACGCCCGGTCGCCTTCGTCTCCCTCCTAGCAATGATTACGCACCGCACCAGGTACTCATTTGAGGCTGAGTCGACCTAAGAGAGGCCCAGGACCGGTTCAGACAATCGTCACCGGTGGTGGCCGTGAGCGAGAATCAAACTCGGAGACGCCGGGATGGAAGAGCGCTCCGCTCCGGCTGCGAGAGGGAGAGGGTGAGAGTGTGTCCCGCACTCCGTGAGGTCTTTTAATATTTAGAGTCTCGTCCACTCGGTGGCACGCGAGTCGGGGTGGGGGAGGAGGAGGAGGAGGATGGGGGTCCTGCGGGGAGGGAGGAAGAGGAGGGCGCTGCGGGGTTGCCTAGCAATGGAGGAGGAGGTGACGTGACTCAAAGTGCCACGAGAGTTGTGTGCGAGGCGCGCAACAAGACGGCGACGCTTCGTGGCGCTGCGCGTCGCTCGCTCCAAGTTCATCGCGCGCGGTGACGCCTCGCTCGGGACGCACGCAACTCACTCCGTCGTGCAGTGGCGGCTTCGTCGTCGAGGCCACAGCCCCTTCTTGTGTCCGTCTTCCTTCATCCTCGCCCCGTGCCCGAGCCACCTGGGCGGGTCACTGCCCGCTCTCCAGCTCAGCACCGGGCATGGCTTAGCACCAGCCATGCCTTAGCACCAGCCATGCCTTAGCACCAGCCATGCCTTAGCACCAGCCATGCCTTAGCACGGGGCATGCCTTAGCACCAGGCATGCCTTAGTACCAGCCATGCCTTAGCACCAGGCATGCCTTAGCACCAGCCATGCCTTAGCACCAGCCATGCCTTAGTACCAGGCATGCCTTAGCACCAGGCATGCCTTAGTACCAGCCATGCCTAAGCACCAGCCATGCCTTAGCACCAGGCATGCCTTAGCACCAGGCATGCCTAAGCACCAGCCATGCCTTAGCACCAGGCATGCCTTAGCACCAGCCATGCCTTAGCACCAGGCATGCCTTAGCACCAAGCATGCCTTAGCACCAGCCATGCCTTAGTACCAGCCATGCCTTAGCACCAGCCATGCCTTAGCACCGGGCATGCCTTAGCACCAGCCATGCCTTAGTACCAGCCATGCCTTAGCACCGGGCATGCCTTAGTACCAGCCATGCCTTAGTACCAGGCATGCCTTAGCACCAGCCATGCCTTAGCACCGGGCATGCCTTAGCACCAGGCATGCCTTAGCACCAGCCATGCCTTAGCACCAGGCATGCCTTAGCACCAGCCATGCCTTAGTACCAGCCATGCCTTAGTACCAGCCATGCCTTAGCACCAGGCATGCCTTAGCACCAGCCATGCCTTAGCACCGGGCATGCCTTAGCACCAGCCATGCCTTAGTACCAGCCATGCCTTAGCACCAGGCATGCCTTAGCACCAGCCATGCCTTAGCACCGGGCATGCCTTAGCACCGGCCATGCCTTAGCACCGGCCATGCCTTAGCACCGGCCATGCCTTAGCACCAGCCATGCCTTAGCACCAGCCATGCCTTAGTACCAGGCATGCCTTAGCACCAGCCATGGCTTAGCACCAGGCATGCCTTAGCACCAGCCATGCCTTAGCACCAGCCATGCCTTAGCACCAGCCATGCCTAAGCACCAGCCATGCCTTAGCACCAGCCATGCCTTAGCACCAGCCATGCCTTAGTACCAGGCATGCCTTAGCACCAGGCATGCCTTAGCACCAGCCATGCCTTAGCACCAGCCATGCCTTAGCACCAGGCATGCCTTAGTACCAGGCATGCCTTAGCACCAGCCATGCCTTAGCACCAGGCATGCAAGTACGATGCTGAAAATGCGTGGAACGTTTTTGAAAATAAGAACCATCGCGTCGTATTTGTTCACAGTTCAAACTAATCGCGGACAAGTTCTGTCCGATGTGCACTAAACCCGACGAGTCCCTACAACTCATAGGGGCGCCCTTTAAGGCAATGGGCCCAACAGCTTTGGGTTCACTTACATTGATTATATTATTTTACTGCGTATATTGTGCGCTGTATCAATGTTACGTACTGTGCATTTAAATATAATTATATTCACCGATGTAAAAGTTGTCTTGTTTTCGCGTACATGTACAGTACTATTCAAACCTTTGTCATGCGACTATACTTCACCACGCTGGTCAGCGCGGGGCTGCCACTGTTGTTAGCCGTGGCTGGGAATTCATCTCGTGAGCACAAGTTCAGCACAACAGCCACTGCGCCATCGCTGATGGCCATTGAACAAGCCCCCAGGGTATGCACACTGACCGAATATACTTAACATGGAAAGAAGCTAAGCGTCCAACAGTTTGAACACAGCAACAAACAGCACGACAGGGACTTGAGTCCCGTAGATGGAGTGATAATTGCCCCTCCCTGGTAACCGCGTCTGTTTATTGTGACTTTAAGTCAAGCCGAGCTCTTTGCGTTCGTAGCAAACCAAATGTCTGTACTCGGGTCACGCAGACCTTGGTAATTGACATCGTTCGAGCACTAATCACCGACGTCGCGTGTGACACTCGTCGAGGGGACGTCACGAGCATTGCTCCAGGCAGACAAAGTCGACATCAAGATGTCGCTTTCACAAATTAATTCCAGCTTGGTCGATTTAAAAAAAATTATGCACCATTGACGCTGATGTAGTTATTCTTCCCCTATCACCCACGCAAAGGATTCCACACACTTAACGATGTGTTCTTTTGGGGGCTGCCAAAGAGTATGGGGTCCCTGGACATGTACGGACTTGCAGCTAACCTCGGCCGATATACATCAAAGTCACTGCTCATGTTTCATGCTTTTAACCAGTGTGATAGTCTCCGACTTCAGTGGAAAAGACAACTTGACACATTTAGAAAACCTATGAATGTCATTTCAACACGGAATGCCCTGTTAAAAGCTGTGCCAGAAGAGTGTATGACCCTGGATACAGCGGTATATTATTCTTCTTCGATGCGACTGCAACAGCGTATTGCAATAACATCCCCATTGCTTGGAAGCACAACATCTTGACACAGAAAGAAAGTGACAACGATGGGAGCCCCCCCCCCCCCCCCAGCAAAATCGGCACTTCAAGTGGACACTGCTAAGGGCAATTTCTGCTTACTGACCCTCAACTACTCAACTTCCAAGCAAATAACTTAGGGCAGGAATTGCTGCTGTATTGTGGCTGCCAAGATAGTTGTAGGGTACAGTATAGTGATTGTGTGTGGGACAGCAGCCGTGATGGGGATTCGTAGTCTAGTGGACTTCAAATTCCCCTCAACCATCATTGGTGACGAATATCCGAACTGGTTCAGGATTTCCCTTAAGGTTGACTCAGCCTTTAAACGACTACCTGGTATGGTGTGTAGAAATCAGCGTTGGGGAGACAGGCATGGTGCTGGACACCCACCTCCTCGCTTGCTGAGCTGGCTTTCAAAGGTTCTCACGAACAGCACTTGCCCGAACAGTCTGCGTCAACCAAACTCCTAAGCACAACAGCTAACTTGGAAATAAGCTTTCAATAAGTACAAATAAAGGATAAACCATGAAATCTGACAAAAACAACTTCACAGTGTCTGTCACTCTTAGATTCTCAAATTGATGATTTACCAAAAGCTGGTGGAAATGAAATATTTCGCCAAAAATATGGAAATAAACATTCGCCAGTTGGAGAATCTGACCCTTATTGTCTCTCACTGGGTCTTAAAAAAGAAAGATGACTCCTTTCATATAAAACATATAATTTTCAGCCTCTGCATTCTAAATGCAAATTCAGTATTCACAAAAAAACATTAAAGCATGTACATATTTGACCTGGTGGGATAAATAATTGAAAGGAGTCATGTTTTATGCAACCCGTTTATTTTCTACACTATTTTTAGCTGAATAAACAGAAATGTAATATTCCAACACAAACACCCGCTGTAATTAGAAACCCAGTGGAGGACTGTGTATATGATACCGGTTGACACGACCCAAATATGTCTCAGATAACTGCCCAGGCTGTGTTTTATGCTGCTCCACGCGAGTTTTTAGTTTTTATAACGAGAAACAATGAACAACAACCCATACACACCCATGGTGCTTCTTAAAGGCTTATTCTATTCGGGTTTGCTGCAACATCACATAATGTGAGATGAATGAGGTATTACATTTCACAATTATCACGATGTAATTTTCCCATAAGTTATTGTATTTCTTATTTCTGCTGTATGGGTTGCGTGCGTTTCTGCACTTCTAGTATCAATAAACAACAATAAGTGAACGTCGTTCAACTCTCGACATCGACCCGAAGTCGCGTCCCCGTGTTGGCGGATTCGATTTCCCCATTGCGCCACCCAGCGGCAAGATATGAATACATTCATACATTACTTTCTCCAGTACTGCGGTCGAGGACTATTATTATATTTACACAACTGTATTGTGAAGTACATTTACACTAAGGTAACCGAATTGAAAACAAAACGGTCAAACATAACGGTACATATACAAGATACATTTCTAGCAACACACATCGGAAGGCTCAAACACACTGCAGTTTGCGACCCAGAGGTCTCCTCCATCTGCCAGCGCAGCAGTGCAAGCAAGGAGAGACGCTTCTCAGCCCGGCCTCTGTCCGCCAGCAGTGTCGGGCTGGCTGCTCGTGGCGAGCTGCAGCGTGGGGGGGGGGGCTCCACGTCTCTCAAGACGTCTGCCGGTCAGCGTGGAAGAGTAGGCCGACTGCCACTCGAGTGGAGGACCCCCTCAGTGACGTGGGCGAGCAATTGTCGGGCTGTACCGTGACCTCTTCGTCGGTGAATTCATGACTCAATTCCACTGGAAACGGTTACCGGTTTGGGTCGCGTTGGTAGTCACTGTTGGGGTCACGGTTCGGGGGTCACGGTTCGGGGTCACGGTTCGGGGTCACAGTTTGGGGTCACTGTTGGCGGTTACCGGTTCGGGGTCACGGTTCGAGGTCACTGTTGGGGTCATAGTTGGGGGTCACGGTTCGGGGTCACAGTTGGGGGTCACGGTTCGGGGTCACAGTTGGGGGTCACAGTTGGGGGTCACGGTTCGGGGTCACGGTTCGGGGTCACTGTTGGATTATTTGACGAGCTTCCTCCCCTGTATTGTTTGTGTTGCCTCCACAATCACGCTGGGATCGTCTTTCGGGGAGGCCGCCACCCGGCAGTGGATGGCCCACGGCTGACTTCGAGTGGACACGTCGAGTGGACACGTCGAGTGGACACGTCGAGTGGACATGTCACGCACCCCGTCACGAGGATGCGTCACCCTCCACAGGATCACATCCTGACGCCGTGACGTGCATAGCATCAATCGCCGCAGACTTCGATTCGCGATTCCTGCAGATTACGAACGACCAAACGCGGTAAATGATATGCTAATGCGGCGTGCGGGATGAGGAAGAGGACGTCAGGCGAACAGAGGCGGCGAAGGGGAGCGCGAACAACAACAACACGAGGGGGGGGGGGGGGAGTCGGTGACGCGGGTCCGCGGATCGCGGAGTCGACCCGCGGATCGCGGAGTCGACCCGCGGATCGCGGAGTCGACCCGCGGATCGCGGAGTCGACCCGCGGATCGCGGAGTCGATCCGCGACGATTCCGCGGATCGCGACGTCGCAGGCCGTCTCCATGGCGACGAGCGGCGTCCCGGCCTAACAGAGACACCGCGTCCCCGTGTCTCTGTCCCCGTGTCTCTGTCCACGTGTCTCTGTGTCTCTGTCCCCGTGTCTCTGTGTCTCTGTCCACGTGTCTCTGTGTCTCTGTCCCCGTGTCTCTGTCCCCGTGTTTCCGTGTATCTGCCCGCGTGTCTCTGTCCCCTTGTATCTGTCCCCGTGTCTCTGTCCCCGTGTCTCTGTGTCTCTGTCCCCGTGTCTCTGTGTCTCTGTCGCCGTGTCCCCGTGTCTCTGTCCCCGTGTCTCTGTGTCTCTGTCCCCGTGTCTCTGTCCCCGTGTCTCTGTCCTAGTGTCTGTCCCCGTGTCTCCGTGTCCCCGCCTCTGCGCGTCTCCGCGTCGCGGCGCCGTCGCCTCTCGCCGCACGGGCAGGCCGAGGGGTCTCTCGCCATGGCGAGCGGGGACCCGGGGGCCGAGGGGGCCGTGGGGGACCCGGAGGCCGTGGGGGCCCCGGGGGCCCCGGGGCAGGCTCCGGCTCCCCGCGCCCGCGACTCCCGCCTGAGCCTCGACCTGAGCCGGCGCGGCCTCGACTCCGTCCCCGCGGCGGCGCTGCGAGACGCCAGCGGCCTCCAGGTCCGAGACGGCGCCCACCTCGCCCGGCTCACCACCTCCTCCTCCTCCTCCTCGTGTCTCACCTCCCTGCGTCTCACCTGTGCCCGCTGTGTCGTCTGTGTATCACCCGTGTCTCACCTGTGTATCACCCGTGTCTCACCTGTGTATCACCCGTGTCTCACCTGTGTATGACCTGTGTCTCCTGACTTACCTGTGTTTCACCTGCTTATCTTGGCTCACCTGCGTAGCCTGTGCCCGCTGTGTCGTCTGTGTATCACCCGTGTCTCACCTGTGTATAACCTGTGTCTCCTGACTTACCTGTCTCACCTGTGTTTAACCTGTCTCACCTGTTCCCGCTGTGTGTCATCTGTGTATCACCCGTGTCTCACCTGTGTATGACCTGTGTCTCCTGTCTCACCTGTGTATCACCCGTGTCTCACCTGTGTATGACCCGTGTCTCCAGACTTACCTGGCTCACCTGTGTTGCAAATTCAGGGTTGGTGGCGAGAGTTAAAGAGAGAGTTTGTGCAGGGTAATGAATGCTCCTAAATCTCTGTCAACGATCTCTGACGACCAACAACCTGTGCTTAGAACATTGTGAGCTCTATTTTGTTTTAATACAATAGTTGTTAGTTGTGGTACATGTTTTCCTGTGGATTGTATTACAGTGACAATGGAATAATACAGTTTTTATAGGGTGAACGTCATCCCTTGGCTGACTTGAAGCCCTGATTGCTTGCCTGACCCTCTAAATGGTTAAATAAAGCATTAACATTCATCAAGCCGTGATTATTTAACTTTAATTATGAATACATTTAAATATTGTAATTCCTCAATCATAAATGCAGAAACCCACCTACATTCATGTCATTACGATGCATAACTTAATCATGGTATACGAATTGATTGGATTAATAAAGATATATTTTTAATCATTTTACAGGAATTTTTGTAACAGTATATATTGTAAGCTATGATACAAAATTGACCACTTTGAAAGCATTGGTTTGCATATCACAACGAAATATTAAAAATCATGCAATGATATGCTATTGTTATATACAGGAAGCCAGGAAGTTGATAACAACATTCTGCTAAGCATATTAAATGTGGAGATATTTTTGAGCTCTTACTGTGCCCTCGGTCTGTCGCACAATAATGTGACATACTGTGATGGATGATGGTCAAGGATTAGAAAGGGAGTGGCAGCCAAAGAATGGAACGTCGCTTAAAATCCACCAAAGCTGGGTGGATTGTTGTTGCATCCCAGGATCGTGAGAGGTGGCCGCTTGTGGAGCTCTTCATCCAGCAGTAGATTGACCATGGCCGATAATGACGAATGTGTTAAAAGCTCTCAGTATATTGTGTATGTGTGTCATTCGAAACTCGGTTTGCTTGTGCTTGCCAGCACGTGTGCCTGGAAGGCAACAATCTAGTGGAGGTGCCACCTGCTCTGTTTGAATGCCTGCCACGCATGCTGTGGCTTGACCTGCGCAGTAATCGTCTCTGTGGTCTCCCGCCCGCTGTGGGGCAGCACAGGTACCCACTCAATGGACATGCCAAGGACGCACCCGAGACTGAGGACGAACATCCCTCCACTTATATTCACCGAGTTGCTCCCCGCTTTTTTCTCGACGTGCAGACAAAACAAAAATCCGAGCTTTGATTAAATATTTATCCCGAACACAGGAGGTTATTTTCAGCACTCATTGATCTGATGTTTAATTTTAAAATAAAAATGGTTTCATGAAATCGTGTAATTGGTATGGAGTAAAAAAATAAATTGTTTAAAGCTTCTTTTTTAAATGCAAATGGTAGTCACAGGTTGCATATCAGATGTCCCCATTCTAAGCTGCGCAGAATATAATTATATTCAACTCACCGGTGCTTTGGGAATTGGTAAATAATTGGAACCTGCATTTTTTGTAATTGTAAAATATAGAATGTCATTTGAGGCTTTAGAATGATAAAGTCAGTGCAGAACATAACATTTCATCAGTGCTTTGTAGCCTGCAGGTTAACCTTTCATGTCACTACGATACCTTTGATGTGTATGCTGTTATAGTTTTAACTCATCATATTTTGTTGAAATGTTCCATATTCGGTTGGTCGTGTTGCCTGATGTAGGTCTCTGAAAACATTGTTGTTGGAAGGAAATCCAATCACACATTTACCAGCAGAGCTTGGTGAGTTTATGGGTGCACTTATCGTCTCTGTTGCACAATAACACGGTCCACACAGCCCACCAGCAGGGTGGTAATACGTTCTGTACACAAACCATATAATAAACAACACACATTAAAAATACACGCACAGTCACACACACAAGCTTATGAAACCCCTATCTTATATTAAATGATCTGTAAAGAGTAACTATTAATGATTCCCATAAGAGTTGTACAGTCATACGAATAGGTGCAGGCCTTAACTTGCACAGAGGCAAAGTCATAATTTGTATAAATTGTGCAGAGGTGGATTCACATTTTTGTACTCATTTAACAAGGATGAGAAATGTAACGTCATGCCCACTACATTCAATATGCCATAGCAAATAATAGATTACACGCCACAACATTTGAAAACATACATTTCACTCATGGATGCAACATTAAGAGTAAGGACATGAATCGCCGATAGACAACCAATTTAAAATGATACTTTCCTCAGAGAGCATGTTTATTCTGGGAGTCATACGAAATACATTCAACGTATGTTCCTGGCATTCTAAAATATGCTCCCTCTTTTAAGTACAAACTGAATTTTTCCGAGGAGGCAGCATCCAATATCAACGAAACAATATTCATAACATTTAAAAGGTGCTTGGTTATACTGCTGGTTACGGTTACAATTGGATTTGCTCTTGTTAGTTTCGACATAGTCGAAATATCAGCTCGCGGATATCAGCAAGTGATACATTCACACACTGCCGGGCTCAGTGAACCTACAGGTTCATTCAGAGTCTCAAGATGCTTCCAGGAGAATTCCGCGTTGGTGGAGTGTGTGTGGCCCATTGCTTTTGTTTGCATGTGGAAGGAAACGGGGCGGGGGGAGCCCACTTATACAAGAACAAACACTGCACCGCCAGATTAGAAACCCAATTACTGTACTGCCTCGCACCGACACTTTATTTCTCCTACCCCTAGTTGTGATTTGCATATCATCTTAGCACGACCGATAGTAATGCCAACTTATATCGTTCTGGACATTACAAGGGTGCTCACAGACCAGCCTGCATGTCACTCAACTCGGGGTGTGCCCCACCATGCACACCCTAAGTTGTGTTGCATCGTGCTCGCGTGCCTTATGGTGGGGCGTGATCGTTAAACGCAATGATGAATTTCAAAATGAATTCACACCACAACCCTACCTGAAACTCGGAAACTGTCAAACTTTCGTGAAATGACATTTTGCACAAAACGGGCAAAGCATTCGCGGAGTGGCGATGTGTCTCCAGGCTCACACCTCGAGGTTAGTAGTAGTGCCCATCTCACACTAACACTGAGCCAGCGATTTACATTCTTTATTCCCCTCATCTTGCCACAGGGCAAGCATTGGCATAGTATCGCATATTGCATGCACACGATACACGTATACAATAAAAAAACAATTATCCTGTGACTGATTTTGTGAGCATTGTAACATGCTCGCTAGCATCCACTATCATTTATACGCTCTTCACTTATCTGCATATCATATTACCCAAGGCAATCAGCTGATATGACATTCTTATAGCACGTCTTATTATCTTGAAATTTGTGAAGATCAGTGATGGATTCACAGACAAGATGATCACAGTGGGCAAGATTCGTATTACCCGTGATGCCATGGACACAACAAGGCAACCCATGTGTGCAGCTCTTCCGTTACATCTGCAGTGGCGTACAGCTGAGATGAAAAATCATCTGGAAAATGTTTACATTATTTATAAACATACAGATTAAGAGGAAGGCCAAAGATTACCCAGGGGTTCATGTTCAAGGAAATTGCCTTTTTCCTCCCACCCAAGTGTAACTACGCGTTCCTGTAATCCAGCACTTTCGGGACAGGTTTGGTGCATTACACAGCTCTTTATCTTGTCTGTGTAGCCCTGAAAAAAGATTGAAAAAAAGAGACAAAAATAAACATCGCTTTCCAACATCTACTCCTGTGTGACGGGAGGTCGGGGGGAAGCAGGGGAGGGGTGCGGGATGGAGCTGGATGGGCCAAGCTGCTGATTCTAGAATGCAAATGGGCCATCCCTCGATGTTCAATATTGTACCATTTTGTAATATATTCAGAGTTTGTGTGCTGTTATTGAAAGTTTGCTGGTGTGTGCAGGCAGACTGACGTGCCTCAAGTCACTGAGCCTGCGAGGCTGCCCTCTGGAGGAGCCCCCAGCTGACATCGTGCACCGCGGTACCCGCGCCATCCTCCTCTTTCTCAGACAAGTGCTCGCCGCTCGGGCTCTACGGGCCAATTCGCACAGCTGCACAGGTAGACGACAGCAACGTGTTTGCACATTTGACTTGCCCTTAACACCGTCATTTCAGTAGCCGGGCGGTGGTGGCTATGCACGCCTGTAATCCAGCACTATGGATGCAGGGTTGGTTGATCGCACACAAATGTTGTGCAACTCTCTTACCGTGGGCATCGAAGTGGCACATCCTGGCTCGCCAGGAGAAGGCAGTATAGACAAAATGTGGACTTCACCATTTCCGTCTGTATGGGATAGAATGTTTCCCCCTCGCACGTGTGCATTTCTCATGGGTGCTCCAGTTTCATCCCACACGTGATTGCTCATTAATTGGCTGATAACCCCCTCATATATATAGGACTGCAGAGCTTGTGTAACTCGTGCCGGATCACCGTGTTGCTGCCTTCCAGATTGTGGTTGCACGCACCTCTTCGTCGATCTCTCTCTACGAGTAAGCGGATACGGCACGTGTTATAAGTTGAAGTTATTATAAGTCACCAATTTGCGTCTGCTGGTGAATTGCAACTGCTGCTGTACCTCATCTGTTGTCTACCACTCTTATTTTTGAATGAGAACATCACTGGACATTTGTTTCAGTTTGTCATTTATATTCTAAATACATTTTGAAATGTATTATTGTCTCTCTAATACGATGCAGCACAATGATTACATATTTTTTTAATGTATTAACTATTTCATTTCCCAGTCTTTGGATAATGAGAAGAATCCTGGATCTCATGATCCTCGTGATTAGCAGTATGTGATGAATAGGCTGTGGAGTAGTGTATTGGCAAGAGCACCGGAAAACAATGGCAGACTGATGATGATGCTTGCCTCGCCACTTGCTGCGCAATGCCAACCTTCGTTTGTGATTGATAGCAGCATTCGCTCAAATAAAATAATATTTCGTGTCTTTGTGTATTTTGTGTGACCAGAATCTACAGTGGGCAATACTGAACTGTCTTGTGTAGAGGAGAGCCCAAATGAAGAGCTGCATTGCCAAAATTCTCAACAGCTGCAAAGTGAAACAGCAGCGGTCGCGATTCCAGAGACGGATGACCGCCCTTTAGTATCTCAACTCCCTCATGCCTCCAGGTTCACACAGGGTGGTGGACCTCACTCGTCTCGGTAAACTCATTGCTTTTCACTTACCTTCACGCAGCACATCCGAAAAGATCATTGTCATAAACGGACAATGATAATTTCTTGTATTCACTATTTTACTCGTATAAAATATGTACGAATTCACTCTTAAAATGTATATAGATGCCATTAGTATACGGTCAATTACAGTGTATTCCTATGGACTAAAGACAGAAGGTGTTCTCCTGCAGCCACACCATCTGCTTCTCGGTCTCCTCTTTGGTTGGTGACCTCAGGCTGCTGCTGGTGGTGCCTGTCTTGGAATTCTGTCTTCCTTTATTCTACACTTACCCCACCCATCTCAAATTCGTCCGTCCGATTACATCTATAAGACGTTGTCGCTGCCACAGGCGAACTGTGAGGTGGGAAATGCACGGCGGATGACTGATGTCACTCGGCTACCAGGACGCAAAAGAGTTTAATTGGGAAATATACACATAATGGGTTGCAGGGCACTCCTACCGGAGAGAACACAACCCCCACGCAGAGAGAGAGAGAATCCGCACACACACACACACGATGCAGAGAATATGCACACACACACACTCTTGATGCAGAGAGAACACGCACACACTCACACACACGATGCAGAGAGGACATGCACACACACACACTCGATGTAGAGAGAACACGCACGCACGCACACACACACTCGATGCGATGCAGAGAGGACACGCACACACACACTCTTGATGCAGAGAGAACATGCACACACACACACTTGATGCAGAGAGGACATGCACACACACTCACTTGATGTAGAGAAAACACGCACACACAGACACACTTGATGCAGAAAGAACATGCACACAGACACACTTGATGCAGAGAGGACATGCACACACACACACACTTGATGTAGAGAGGACACACACACACTCTTGATGCAGAGAGGACATGCACACACTCACACTTGATGCAGAGAGGACACACACTCACACTTGATGCAGAGAGAACATGCACACACACACACTTGATGCAGAGAGGACATGCACACACACACTTGATGTAGAGAGGACATGCACACACACACACACTTGATGTAGAGAGGACATGCACACACACACACTTGATGTAGAGAGGACATGCACACACTCACACCTGATGCAGAGGACACGCACACACACACACACCTGATACAGAGAGGACATGCACACACTCACACTCAACAGGAGCGTAGCGCGCCGCGTGTGGTCTCACGACGGACCAGCCTCGAGCCATTATTAAAGTTTCCGCATTTCAAGTCTCGCAGGTACAGATTCCAATTGCGAGGTGTTCTGCTTTCTCTACTCACCCTGTCCAGCATGACACTGAACAAAGTTGGTGTCGATTACGTCTCTCCTGAACACACACGAGCATAAGTCCCATCCTACAAGTTCTTACGTAACTCGTTTAATTCATTTCAAATACAATATTTCATTGCAGTTTGATGGCCATTTGCTTTCGAATTCTCGATTCTCCCAATCATTAAAGCATATTTAATTAAATTATCAACATCTGACATTTCGCAGTGTAGCCATGGGGAAGTGGCAACGCTTAACCTTGGAAAAATACAACAAATGTCCACCCGCATTGTGCAACATGATCACGAACGCCTGTGCGTTTACCCCACTATCATCCGCAGAGACAGGAAGGTGGCATCAGGCGTCAAATCCCAGCCCCGCAGCTGGGCCGTGGACATTGCGAGGCGTGAGCAGCGCAGCAGGGCAGCAGAGCAAGCCGAGCAGCTCAGGAGGTGAGATGCGAGGAGCGCGAGGCAGCATCCGCTTTGACCGCCACTTTAGGTGCTGAGGCTGTGTCACACGGAACTGCATTGAGGGTGAAACTGCAATGACAAGGCTTACGGTCAAATTATATTTGTTTTTCTGACATTCTCACTCGTAAACACGCATGCAGGGCCAGGCGTGATGGCGCACAGCTGTAATTGCACTATGCAAACACGATTTTTGTCCCTGGGTAGTGTTATTTTTTTATTGTTTATGCCTAAAAAGTATAGAAAATGGCTATTATTCCCCACAAACTTTGCTTTTGTGACCAGGACTTTATGTGAAGGAATTACACAAATGCACACCACGTTTTCTAATTGAAAATAGGTACATTTCAAAATATCACTGTCCTGGTCACAAAAAGCAAAGTTTGTGGGGAATAATAGCCATTTTATGTATTTTTGAGGCATAAGCAATACCCAGGGACAACATTTTTGTGTTACGGTGTTATTAATCTCTTCTGGAGACAAGAGTCAACGAAGTCCATAATGCTTTACAGAATATTCAGTTCATGTATACCCCCCCCCCCCATCAACTGTCACACCGTCATTGGCAAGATTACTTGGAACTGCAAGATAAACCGTCAACATTGAAGGGCACCACGTTGAATGTACAATGCTCTCAGCCTTGTCGAAGCCACCATCTCAGAAGAGCTGAACAACATTTCACTGTCCCAGTCACATTTTCAACTCCTTTGAAGTTGGTGGTCTAAACAATAACACGGCCACATGTTAAGTTATGTTCAGCTGATGGCTTAGACAAGGTTGAGAGCATTGTACTGTATATACAATGTAGTGGTCACTTGATATGAATGCACAGCATGATTGGGAGTCGTGACTTCTTGGTGTTAATGAGCATCACACCTGCATGCATTCTCCTGTGGTGACGGGGTTTCTCATTATTACAAAAAGTGTTGAATTTGAAACGTTGGAGGGAAAATTACTCAAAGATTCCATCTCAGCGTCTGTGCCTTGTTCTTTGTATCTCCGTGTCTGTCCCTGTGGCTGATACCATCTCTTTTTCTCTGCGTCTCCCTGTTGGCCACTGCCATCCCTTGGAGCGTTGCTGTGGTGTGTAAGAGGCAGCATCAGTAGGCGGAGAGGCACGGAGGCTGCAGCGAGCGTATAACGTTGCTTTGTTGCAGAATAACCCCGCAATTCACGAACCACAATTTTGCCAGCAGAGTCTTTGCATTCCGCACCTGGCGATGAAACAAACGCGCCATCGCCCTGTTTACTCAGAAATGGGGAGGCCCTGCGGGATTGGCGCACGAAGGCCAAGCAAGAGCAGCGGCAAACGCAGAGTGAGAGATGCGGCCAGGGCCTGGAAGCGAGCGTCCTTGACCAGGTGCCGCACGGTCACGTGGAAGTGCACATCGCACACAGAGCTGTGCATGTATGTAAGCACATCGCACACAGAGCTGTGCATGTATGTATGCACATCGCACACAGAGCTGTGCATGTATGTGTGCACATCGCACACAGAGCTGTGCATGTATGTGTGCACATCGCACACAGAGCTGTGCATGTATGTGTGCACATCGCACATAGAGATGTGCATGTATGTGTGCACATCGCACACAGAGCTGTGCATGTATGTGTGCACATCACACATAGAGATGTGCATGTATGTGTGCACATCGCACACAGAGCTGTGCATGTATGTGTGCACATCGCACACAGAGCTGTGCATGTATGTGTGCACATCGCACACAGAGCTGTGCATGTATGTGTGCACATCGCACATAGAGCTGTGCATGTATGTGTGCACATCGCACACAGAGCTGTGCATGTATGTGTGCACATCACACATAGAGCTATGCATGTATGTGTGCACATCACACATAGAGCTATGCATGTATGCGTGCGGGAACTTCTTTCACATCGTGCGTAGCCAATTGTGCTAATCGGAAGTGAAAAAGGATGATTTCAAGAGCCATGTACAAGGTGTATTGAAGTCACGTGTTGCAGACTGATTGCTTATACGTCACACAGCAGCCAACGTGTGGCCTTTTAGTTTCCTTGAAGTTAATTGAAATGCTTTTGCTTTATCTGGTGCACACGTGCCTGAAAATTGTTCACAGTTCATACATTAAACATTTGCTCTTGCAAGACGGCCACTTAAATATCCTTTTTCAGATAAAATTAAATATTGATTGAAATTGCGTGTGAACCTTTAAAATGGCTTTGATCAAATGGAACAGCCAAGCATTTTTTAAGGACCAAAAGCCGATGAGTCTGGCTGTAATGGGACACCATTTATACATATTGCTTCATAAAATGTAATATTGTGCACTTTAGCGTCTCGTTGCACGAGGTTAATGCACTTTTGCTGTTAGTGGATGCTGGCGACACACAATAACAAAACACGTTATCTGCAACACGAGGATTACAAAAATATATATCGCGATACAAATGCATCTGCCAATACAGTTCTGGTTTGCACGACAGATATTTACAAGTATAGACCACGATAATACTTAACACGGAGGAGTCTTTACTTCTGAGAAAAGCTCTCTTTTGTTAGATTTGTGCAAGGTGATTGACATGTACTTAAAATGTTTCTTTAGCCTTTGTTGTTATTGTGTACAGGTGGTGAGGAATGCGCCGTTCGGCACAGATCCAGCTTACTATCCCAGTGTGGCTCGAGCAAAGCCCGGCTCCCTTGGGAAGGCCGAGCCGCGAGCCGCCACTCACAGTGGGCAAGAACTGCACGGAGCCAGGTGAGAGCTCTCCTCCCTCCCCCTGCTGCCACAGGTGATGCCCGCCGACGAGACAGAGCTACCACCGGCATCATCACGCATCCAGTCAGGAACTTTTCAGATTGAACGCACTTCGCTGTACTGTAAGCAAGAGCCATGCACAAGTGTTCCTGCACAGACCAGAGAGGTGTCCTTTCATACAGCTGCAAGGAATCTTAGGGACTTTGAATATAGGCACAAGCAGAGAAGTCTTGGGCATTTCGTTACAGGATAGGGAGAGCTTTTTGGAAGTTTAAAACGAGCATGGCAGGAAAGCGTAATTGGTGCGAGTCGGAAAGAGAACGTTGTGATGAATGGGGCACACGCGCAGGTCCGAGTCGCCGCGGTACCAAGCCAGGCATGGGAGTGGCACCTGGAGGCCAGCGACTCAGGCGGGATGCTGTAAGAACTGACTGGGAATGGGGTCAAGTGTCGACTTCGGAAATCTGAGATGAAGTAGAAACGATGATGTGTGACGCATCAGCACCAGTTGATCTATCGATTAGTTTGTGTTTGTATTGATATCATTGGTATTTAGGTTTACGAGTTCATTACTGTGCCTCATTACACAACACACTTGATAACGCGCACATGCACCCACGTTTTCTTTCAAGTTTGCGAATGTGTGCATGGCCAAGGATGCGTGCGTCATATCTATTATTTGGGCGTTCGCTTCATGGGTCGTGGGTTCGTTCGTGTGCGGCTGTATGCGACGCTGCAGGTTGGCACGGGAGCGCGAGCTGCAATTGCGCGTGCGGCAGCACATCAACGCGATGTTGGAGCGACGGGCGCAAGACAAAAGCACACCCCGCAGCACAATGCAGGCAGCCCAGAGGGAGATACAAGTGGTACTACATGTGTGTGTGTGCCGCATGTTAGATACAAGTGGTACTACGTGTGTGCCGCATGTTAGATACAAGTGGTACGACGTGTGTGTGTGTGTGCCGCATGTTAGATACAAGTGGTACTACGTGTGTGTGTGCCGCATGTTAGATACAAGTGGTACTACGTGTGTGCCGCATGTTAGATACAAGTGGTACTACGTGTGTGTGTGCCGCATGTTAGATACAAGTGGTACTACGTGTGTTGGTGCCGGCATGTTAGATACAAGTTGGTACTACGTGTTGTGTGCCGCATGTTGATACAGTGGTACTACGTGTGTGTGTGCCGCATGTTAGATACAAGTGGTACTACTGTGTGTGTGCCGCATGTTAGATACAAGTGGTACTACGTGTGTGTGTGCCGCATGTTAGATACAAGTGGTACTACGTGTGTGTGTGCCGCATGTTAGATACAAGTGGTACTACGTGTGTGTGTGCCGCATGTTAGATACAAGTGGTACTACGTGTGTGTGCCGCATGTTAGATACAAGTGGACTTGTAGGACGGTAATGATGACTGTGTAAGTCTTGATGTCCACGGGGGGTGCATTGTCCGCACAAGCCATATTTTGGATAGCCCTGGTTGACAGACTTCGTCTTAAGTATCCGAGGTAATAGGAATGTTTTAGCGCCCATCCTTGCCTCAATTAGGGATTCCTTGAAATCAGCAAATTCGTGTAGACCTCCCCGAAGCAGTGGCTTTAGGATGGGGAATGCGCACAATTGTCTACCAAGCTGTTCAGGAAATGGCACTCGAGTTTTTTCTGAGGTGCGTCGTAACGACGATGGCACAGGTGAATCACCGTGGGAAACTGGCGGTTGTGCCGTACAGGCCCAGCAATTGCAGCGGGAGCTGTCGGGGCAGGGCCGGCGGACGCCGCTGGATTACCGCTTCACGGCCTTCACCGGAGACCCTGTCCGCGACCACGCGGCGCGCGGCCCCCTGCGCAGGACCTCCTCTCCTGCCACCGCACACAAGGCCCATCTGGCGTGAAGGATTCCACCCACTCGAGGTCAAGCTCAAAAGGCCAATGCTAATTATGCTACCACACCTCACCATCAATTTAGTGTCCCGTAATGGTTGCAATGTCAGCTTGGGTTATAGGGTTACCTAACTTGGTGAATTCTTGCTACAAGGAATAACAATATCACAAGTTATAAAAGCCTACGACTTTCCATAAGATGTGAGACTTGCAATACAACTTGCTGTGCAGTACCTACAAGCAGAAGCTGTGAAGAGAAAACGTCGAGACCGGGGTTGGTGAACCACAGACCAGTTTATTGTTGAGAGCAAATCAAGGAGAAATACAAGACTTGACAAAATAGCATTTCGTCCATATGAGAGTTGCATTTAAATTAGAACTCGAAATACAAATCTCATGAAAATTAGTCTCCCCAAACCAGTTTAAACGTTTATGATTTCAATATTAACCACTCCATCCGGACGGAAATCTGCACAAAGTTGCTTGAGCGTGCAATAACTTGAAGGATACCTTTGGACAAGAACTGCAGTTTATTGTTAGGGACGTCGATTCAATTGATATCGTGAGCGCTCAATGGACACGAGTGAAGGCATCAATAAATACCATTTTAACAAGACAGCACTGCCGCTTCCCAATGTGACACTTTCAGAAGGCAAAGCAACTTAATTGTAAATTATAATTTACAAGGTTCTTCATGCTATTCAAAATGTCAGGAACAAACTTAACTGTTCCAAATCAATCCAGTAAAGCTAATGTAATGTTAAATTGTCATGCGTTGTTGGGTTCAAGGATATAGGGTGAACTGGAACATTTTTGTTAAAGGATCAACTTATTTTAAGGCCAGTACTCTGTTCATGACAAGAAATGTACCCACATATACACTGCAGAAAAACCTTTTTACAAGGCCGCAAACATCCTTAAGTCTAAGTTGTTAACAGGCGTTTTGGTATTTAGAATGTCCAGATATTTAAATTGGTAAAGCGAGATGAGCATGTGGTCTGCTTTGTACACAAGTTATTCCAGCTCCTTTGTACCAGCGTTCCATCTCTACCAGTCTCCTAAATTCAGATATCAATTACAATCTGTAATTCAGATGTCTTGACTGGTAAAGAGGGAAAGGTGTTACTGTGGTGTGGCACAAGTTTGCAAAATGTTTGTGAAGTGCTATCTTTTCTTTAGAGATGACCGTGTCGGAGCTAACCATTTGCAGCCCCTAGGGGATCGTGTTCATCGTGCACACCGTGCATCTGTGTGTGAAATTATACATCCCACATACGCACATTGAAAGCCGTTAGGTGCACACGAGGCGGTGAGCGTACGCGCCCACGGTCGTCGGTGCCCTCGCCCGTCAGGGCTGCGCGTGCGTGGCGGCCAGGCCCACCGCGCTGGCGTGGGCGGTGAGCAGCGCGACGGCCTGCCGCGTTTCCAGCGTGAGGCGCGCCTCATGCAGCCAGCTGTCGGCCACGCGGCGCGCCTCGCCCCGCAGCGCCGTCACGAACCTCGCCGCCTGCTCCAGGTCGCCGTGCTCCAGGCAGAAGGCGGCGTAAGCGAGCACGCGGAACGCGTCGCCCAGCTCTTCCGCCGCCACTCCTTCCGCTGGGGGCTTCAGCGTGGCTGGCTCCAACATCAATGCGGCCTTCGCGCGCGCACACACACACACACACGTACAGAAGCAAGAGTTGTATAAACACACACTTGAATGGAACTACACATCCACAAAGGGACGCACAATGCACATTAGTGTCCGTGACAGATAACAGGCATCTACGCAAAAGGAGCCTACAATTTTGACAATACATTGCCTACTTGCAAAAACTGTGACATTTAATGTAAACAATGAACGTGACCACTTAAACATATATGTTGTAACACTTTCCAAAAACAGTTTAAAGCTTTTATGAATTGCCGCCATCCGTCGATCCGTAACTGGGTACGATAACTCATAAAATATGGTCCACTATGAACAAAACAGTCGTATAAAATGGTGCTTCTACTCGGGACTTACCCAACTGAAAACTGCCCAAATTAATCAGAGGGTACCCAAAACTGGAAGATCAAAGCCGGTGCAAAAAGTACACAGTGCAATTATTTGTAGCCCTGACAGCTTCCATTTGCTTTTGCACTGCTATCCCAAAGTTTCCAAAGACAAATATTGGAACGTGTTACATATCCCATGTATATGCATTACATTTTTTGTGATATTTGAACAAAAGGAGTTGTTTTCAGTTCTAGCGATGCGACTACCAACTGCATTGCGTGTTAATAGTGTCACTTGAACTGCTCGTTCAGTGAAGCGCGTTGGTTTCCCCACATGCCCCACACCACAACCACTCTTTTCCTGCACGCTCACTGCAAGCACCACTGTTGTCATTGTTGCTTTTAAACTGTTATGATAATGAGACCGTGTTATTTATGTCTTACATTTATGTTTGTAGAAGTTGCATTAAATATTTTGGCAGTTGCTTTTTTTTAAGTCCTTTATATTTACACTTACCAAGGTTGAAAACGTTCGTTACCGCTCGTGGTACGTTACCTCTCGTGGTACGTTACCTCTCGTCGTACGTTACCTCTCGTCGTCCATCCATAACAAGGGAGACACTGGAGCTCTTCTCAAGAGCATTCAATGACAAAACTAGAGTATAAAGTTGGGTTGCTATTATAAACTTTCCCGAATGAAAACAGGCCAAATTTATCAAAGAGTTCCCCAAAACTTGGAGACACAAACCAGAATCAAGGGAGGAAATGTATCAATAAAAGTCGATTGGAAGATGCATGGTAAAGCTATGGTTTATATAAGTGCTTATGCCTTGCACATTATGCTCATGGCAATGGGGAGGGGCTGGGTGGGGAGGGAGGGGCTAGATGGGGAAGGCGGCCACGGCACTCAATCTCTACATTTAAGCCGCCAATTCGTTGAGCCATCATTCGAGGCAAGGTCACTTCCGAATCGTATACAGCTCAGTGGGCCCTGCCCAGTCAAAATAAAACCGTTAGTTGAGCACTGTACACATTTCTGCACAGGGCACTGTACACACGTGTGCTGTAAGGCTTTTGCCCGCCCTCACAGTCGGCCATATTTGCGGAATACACCACGCTGCCATTGACCCTGGCCATTGACCAAGCAACCCAACGTTCCTACCAGCTCCCTCCACAGGAATGTGTTACTTCATTTGCCATTTAGACCACAAATTATGATCAACCACATTGTAAGAATTGATACCTGGGCAGCCTAAATATGAAGAGTGCGGATCGCTCAGCTTCAGCAGCAATCCACCGTGCTTGCACCTGTGCTTATGCACGGCCATCTCACCCATGGCGCCTGATGGCTATTTTGTGCACCTGCTGAGATCTGACGATAACACCGCTATTTTCTCAGGACGCTTTTGCACATCCCCAAGATGAATTTGGCCTACCTAGCCCAACGTTACCTGCAATTACGGACGAACATCCTGGATGAAAACATTTTCCTGAGCGCCGGCTCAGAAACGACTTGACATTTAGGGAATGGTGGCGGGCGGGTCACGTGTAGGAAGGGTGTGTTTCCCCGCACTCTCCCTGCGGGGGAAGTTAATTAACATGACGTTTCTGGGTGTCCGGAACATTGACCGAGTTGGGTTTGTATCCGAGCCGGAGCAACTCGGTGGATCACCACGTGAATAAACCTACGGTTGAAGACTCAACCGGTCACGAGGATGAACACGGTATGGGAGCCGTGCGTGCGGCTTGCCGAGACGGGCGCACCTGTATGTAGGACAGGAAGTACTGGTAGAGGCTGTTGCGCGTCTCGTCGATGAGGGCGACGCGGCGCGCGAGCCTCCGCACGCTCCGGAAGCGGTGGCGCAGCGCCTCCAACGAGTACACGCCGCGCTCCTTTGACTCGCTCGGGACGGCGCCCGTCACCGCCTGCGCGAACTCGCTCTCCGCCAGCACGGCCCGCGCCGCGTCCACGTGCTTGGCCAGCGGCACGCACGGCCCGTCGGGCCCGTCCGGCCCGGCCTGGGCCAGAGCGGTGCGGAGGGCCTCCCCAGCGAGCCACAGCGAGTGGGCCTTCTTGGCGACCTCCTCGCGCTCGGCCAGGCCTGCGGACGCAGGGGCACGCAGAGCCACTTGCTTTGCAAACACGCCCAGTGCACACGCGGCGACACATGTACCTACATATGCTCACAGGTGCGCAGCCTCTAAAGGGAAACAATATAAATGCGAGACATTTTTACAATGGTTTGAAAAACATACTATCATATTTCAGTAGTGTTAAAACATTTTTCGTTGCGATTCCTGCTCAAGCAGTGTCCTTTGCTTATGCCTGTGTTACTGATGAGCGTTTAGAGAGGCTGCATGTGGCCGTCTGTATTACATGCGTGTTCTACACAACATGCGTGTTCTGTGTGCGTGCGTGCGCACCGTCAACAGCATTACGGATCCCGTGCACTTGTGCAAACGCTTTGTTTATGTCTTGAGTGAAAGAGTCGCGCTGATCCAGAATTTCGCGCCGGAACACGAGGTCCTGCTCCACCATCTTGTCTGTCAATTCCTAGGAGGGGAAAAGCACGTCTGAGTTCACAGAGGTGGGAACGGGAGCCGTTTACGCTGCGGAAGCCGTGGCCACGCTAGGCAGCGTGAGAGATGGGAGATCGGGGAGCGGGCCGGGGGGCGCACTTACCTTCTTGTGAGAGTTTCCCAGCTCAAACGCCTGCAGCTTCAGTGCCTCCTGCAGGTGGTCCGAGTGAGCGGCCGTGGCACGGCGCAGCTGGGTGCGCATCTCCATCTCCATTGCGTCCTTGAGCTCCTCGATCTGTCGTGCAGAGGAAGCCAGCACGTGGACGGGCAGGCACAGGGGCGCGCACGGACACGCGGGTATATTGCACGGGCACACGCGCACGCTCACTACCGTACGCAATTACGTGCAGCACGCAGAGATATTTCAGGCATGCAATGTCAGTATAGCCGTGCGCACTCGTATGAACACAAAGGTAAAAATATGGCTCCTATGAGGTCAATGCGAACACTTGGACAACATGCCGGTGTGTACACACAAAGAGCCTTCATTTGACTTATAACGCCTCTTACCTGGTTAATATATTGACCCACTGGTGCAAGTTTAACAGTGATTAACTAACAGTTGTTACATAATAAATTGCAAGTTTCACAAGTGTAAGACACTAAGCGATATTATATAAAGTATTGCTCGATATTAAACATTCAAGAGTTATCACTTAAACATGCAAGTCGAAACACGAGCCAGTATTTAGTTACATACCCCGGTCTGTTGAAGATGGGTTTAAAGCTTTGTTAATAGGAACGCTTTTACGTTTTAAATGCAGGCGTTAGTGATTGGCGTGTTGCCAGCGCTTGAGGCAGTGCGTGCGAGTGAACGTGCTCCATTGTAAAAATCAAATCGTGACAAAGAATGCATTACTTATGCAAATTAAACACGAATGTTAAATTTAACAGTACGAACCAGACCACAAAGAAGAATAAAGCGGGCATTAAACAATGCGGTAAAAACAAGATAAAAAAAAACGTCGTCTTCAACCACTTGCAGGGTCTCGGGGGAAGGCGACTCGCCGCGCACCGCCGCGTGGCGAGCGGGGAGCGCTCGCCAGCCACGCTGGACCGGCGACGCACCTTGCGCTGCTGCGCCACCACGAGCTCCTGGCGCTGCTGGTGCAGGGCGGTGGCCAGCGCCTCCTCCAGGCCGCGCTGGTCGACCGTGCGCTGCTGCTCCCGTGCCAGGACCAGGCGGTGCTCCTCCAGGGCCTGGCGCTCCGCCACCTCCCGGCGCAGCTGCTCTGTGCGCCGGTGCGCGTGCAGCAGCAGCGCGTTCAGCTCCTCCTTGTTCAGGTCGCCTGGGAGGCCGAGCGCATCGCGCGGAACATGCCGGCGCTCACGAGCGACGCTTACACGTCACCTTTTCATCTTATTCCGTTGCACTGCAATAACATTATTCGTATTTAAAGTGTGCTATTTAAGCAAAATGTATTAAAATTTTACCAGGTCAGGCCCACTGAGATATGTAGCTATTTTTCAGAAGCGACCTGGCCACAAATGATAGCTCAACGAAGTGGCTTCACATGTGGACATCTGTAGCAAAATACTCTAAACACATGTTTCTAAATGTGTTTAGAGAAAAAACCGGAGGGAGAACATGCAAATTCCAAATTTGCAGGCGCCAAGGTCAGTATCGAACCCACTACCTCCTGCAAAGCAGGCTAGGGAGTTAACATCTCGCAACCGCGGCACCCCAACACATTTCCTCATAAATTAAATTACAAGGCCCGTACATTTCATTCATCACAGCCTTCTTCGATGAACTCGGCTATCAATTACCGCTCGTCTTCGCATGCCTCGTTTGTACGATGCAGCCAAAACGTTGCTCACCTCTGCCCTGCCAGCCGGGTACGATGCTCTCCAGTTCTTGCCGGAACTCCTCCTTGGCACGTTCTGCCATCTCCTGGTACTGGGACACGAGGCGCGCTTCTGTCTGCGCCGCTTCCACCTGAGGGCAGGCGGCACGGGGGGGCCGAGTGGGGGGCAAACGACGCACGAATGTTCGCACGGGGGCGGCACGTGATTGCGCACAAAACACTTTTTCATTAACCCACGCTAATGAAAGCATTTTCACACGCGCACACGAAAGGGAAACACGATCCCATTCAGACGGAATAGGTAGAGCCCTCGTTGTCGCTGTACCGCCCTCTCCTGGCGGACCAGGGAATTCCTCCTCGTCGCCCACGGGAAGGGAGTTTCGCAACATTCGTGCGGTGATCCACCAATCCTCGCTGCCGCCTCCGCGGCGCTGGATCACAGCACCGTGGAGGCGGCAGTTCACCGGAGCAGGATCCGCCGACGTGGGACGGAGGGGATCTCACGCGACCGTACGCCCGCTGGTGCCGGCGCGCGGTCCGCACACGACCCGCACCGCGGCGGCGGCGGAGCTCACCCTGCTGGAGGCTCCCTGCAGCTCAGACAGCATGCGGCGCACGCTGGAGCCGGCGGCCTGTAGACGGGGGGCGGCCGCAGGCGCGGCCGTGCCGCGTGCCTCCTCCACCAGCCCCTGCAGCTTCACCACCTCCTCCCTGGCGGCATTCGCGGCACGGTATGTCGTCACAAACGGTCACAACGCCTTCCCAACTTTTACTTTTCTTCTTCTGGCGTTTAAAGTCAACGTTTATTTGTTATGAGGAAAATCCTGTTTTGCCAGTTACCCAGCTAGTTTCGGTGGCAACAGCCCCCAGCCCCTGATAATCGCGTTATCGTTGTGGTGGAGAAGAAACAAGCAAGAAGTCAGCCAGGAAACTCGACGCGTAAATTATTAAGACTCGGAGTGCGATCGACCAAACGTCTCGACACGGGAACCTCCTGAAGCGGTCTTGAGACTCGGCGAGGCTCCTCTGGGTAATGGCGTTACCCGATCCACGGGGGTCCGCGACGCACGGCGCCGGCACTCACTGAGCCACGCGCTGGGCTTGCGACGCTTCGTGGACGGCGCGGTCTCTGGCCGCCAGCGCCTCCCGCACGCTCTGCCACTGCTCCGTCTTCTCTTCAGGCGACATCTGCAACCAGCAACGCCGCGTTTGTGTTGCAGCCCCTCTCGCCATCGCTTCGCTATGCCATCGCTGGAGTGTAAACCCACTGCAATGTGGGTAATAGATTTCCCTTCTATCATGCAGATTTCAGTGTGGTGTGCATGACGGGTGTGGGCTGGGTGTCTGTGCATGAAGGGTGTGGGCTGGGTGTGTGTGTGTGTGACGGGTGTGGGCTGTGTGTGTGTGTGCGTGCGTGACGGGTGTGGGCTGTGTGTGTGTGCGTGCGTGACGGGTGTGGGCTGTGTGTGTGTGTGCGTGACGGGTGTGGGCTGGGTGTGGGCTGGGTGTGTGTGTGTGCGTGACAGGTGTGGGCTGGGTGTGTGTGTGTGTGCGTGACGGGTATGGGCTGTGTGTGTGTGTGCGTGCGTGACAAGTATGGGCTGTGTGTGCGTGTGTGCGTACGTGACAAGTATGGGCTGTGTGTGCATGAAGGGTGTGGGCTGTGTGTGTGTGTGCGTGACGGGTGTGGGCTGGGTGTGTGTGTGTGACGGGTGTGGGCTGGGTGTGTGTGTGTGTGCGTGACGGGTGTGGGCTGGGTGTGTGTGTGTGACGGGTGTGGGCTGGGTGTGTGTGTGTGTGTGCATGAAGGGTGTGGGCTGGGTGTGTATGCGTGACGGGTGTGGGATGTGTGTGCGTGATGGGTGTGGGCTGGGTGTGTGTGTGTGTCTGTGACAGGTATGGGCTGTGCGTGTGTGTGTGACAGGTATGGGCTGTGTGTGTGCGCGTGCGAGTGGTGGCTGCTGCGTACCGCCTCGTCCTCCATGGCGTGCCGGAGGCAGCTGATGTATGTGCCTATGGCAGCGGTAGCAGCGTCCTGGGCCCCGACGGCCTGCGCCGTCACCAAGCCGCTCCGCGCCACCGCCTCCTCCAGGTTCTGAGACAACGCTGTCCCACACGGCACGCGCCGCACGTCACACACTCACCAGTCACAGTGTGCAGCACGCACCTACACAATACCACACTCGCCACGCACGTCACACACTCACCAGTCAGTACATGCAGCATGCACCTACACAACATGACATACACCACTCACCGCTACGTACAAAGTTCACCAGACATCACTAAAGGATGCATGCACAATGCTTGCCGTCAAGTATGTGCTCCAAGCGCTTTACTGGAAAAACCACTCACCCACGAGTTCTGCACACTGCATATTAATATTATTGTGAAAGCACAAGGTGGACACCAATAACATCTCGCATGCATAAAACTCTCATTGTTCGCAAATCAAGCCTCCGTTCAGGAGAGGCTGCCGGTAACATTCACGCTAAAAAATAAGAAGAAAAAGGGAATTGAAGAAACAAAAAGACAAAATCAAAATTATAAAATGGAGAGGAGGAAAGTTCCAGTGGACATAACACTGCTCAGATATGTGTGACCCCTCCGATCGTCACCTTACCAGCAACCTCTGCCTCCGGGTCTGTGTCTTGTGACATCGCTTCCTTAGAGGAGCCACCAGCTGGGCCGGCCTCTAGCAAGTCACGCGGGGGGGCTGCCACACACTCCTCCGTTAGTGGCTGGGCATGCACGTGGGCGTCCCCCTCGTCACAGCCGTCACAACCACGTGGCGCTCGCCCAACCGACAAGTGCAACCGCTGTCACCACCGGCGGTCCAGTCAACGTTGTTGTCGAGCGTTCGTCTAAATACCGTCAAAGAGGAACGTCAAACTAATTTTGTTTGAGTCACAAACACAATAACGTTTGTGTGCTTTAAGTGAAAGTCGAGGCCTGTTGACTTTTGTCAGTCGTGTCAATATGGAACATTATTTACGTTGGATTTAATACCGCTATTTAATTTTTTTAGTATGTGCTAATGCTAGACCAGTGACGGAAGATTCTGCAATCTGCCCTCTCAGTGGCACGTGTGCCAATGAATAGGATTTTACTAAACTCCAGATGCGTGCACGTCAAGTGATTTGCCAATTTTGTATCGTCATGTTTTTAATACAGGACTTGGAAGATACTTTTTTACGAAAAAAATCATCAATAATAAAAAATGATATATCTGCTTTCACAAAATGTAAAATCAGCCATAATTTGTTAAATATTTAACCACAAACTAAAACTTCTCAAAAGTAATGACTGATGAAGTAATATAGAACTGCTGCAGCGTTGGTTTCACGGCTGTGTTGCAGAGCTCTCCGCTGCGTTTCTGTGCTGTGCCGCCTGCTGCCCGGCACGATGTCCGACGTTTCACTCCACGTGTTGGAAAAGCTTCTTCGGGAACTGAATTGAGCTCACTTCACATTGCTGGGAGCGTCTTCAGGAAGTGAATTACAGCGGCTACCAGCACGTGGAGCAAAAACGCCGAATGTCACGGGATACAACGTGAAAACACATCGGAGAGCAACAAGAACCGGAAATCTTTTCAAACGAAAGTACTCGTCCAATTACATGATTCGTAAACAATAAGGGCAGCGAAGTTGAGAAGAGAGACGTACAAAGGTTGTAATGAGGCCAATGAAGAAACAAAAGCGAGGAAGGTAGTGCTGATTAGTAGGCCGAGGGCAGGAGAGGGAGCCTGCGTGGCGCGGGGCTACGGCGCCACACCGTCCCACTTCAGCCCCCACCCACCTGCTGGTGTTGCGTCGCCCGAGGGCTCGTGCTTGCAGGACTCGCACGCGTGCTCTGTGTGAGCGGCGCCGCCCCCGTCGTGCCCGCTGGCCCCCGCGCCCTCGTGCCCCGGCTTGGGGCTGGTGGCCGCATCCGTCACGCCGGGCGCCGGCATGGAGGGTGCTTCTCCGATGGAGGACAGGATCACCGACGCTTCCGATGATCGATCTGCAATTGGGACGAAGGCAGAGCAGGGTGTGGAGAATCTAGGCAAATCTAAAGGCGGAATTGACAATCTACATCCAAACTCTGTCTTGCCTACTCTCAATTTCAATCCCACTGTGCTGTCAACACCGTAAGACAAATACGTTTCCATATCCAGGATGGAATATTCCAGCCCTCAGAATTGGTCACCAATGCTCCGTCACTGGTTACCATGACGAGACAATCAGCTGCAGATTGATCAGAGTCGCCACTCAGATTGGATCCGGTAGGTACCGACCTGCTCAGTGTCCCCACACAGTGTTAGCTCCCGAGACAGCCGACCTCCCCACAATTCAAGCCTCTTAAATGCTCCGTACAGGATGTTCCCGCGCAGCAGCGGTACCTTCCTGCTTGACCGGCGCCTGTGCAGTTGCTGGGGCCGCTCGCTCGTCCGAGTGCTTCTTCTTTGTGGGGGCGATGAGATTCAGATCCCCTGCACCCTGCGCATGAACAGGTGCAGTAGACACCACCGTCACCACGGCAACACGAACCTCTGCCGCCCTTCTCTCCGTACCACCCTCCGCCTGGGTTGTGTGCACTACCAACTCCCTGAGCCTGAGCCCGACTGCCTCCTTGCATCTGTCTCGGCGCTTGCTCTCCTTGAAGACGTATTGCAGACAATTCAGCAAATGTGCGAGGCCAATTCAGCAGGGACCGACTGTAGAAACCACCGAATGTGACCAATTCAAGCTTGGCAGCACACTCCTCCTTGGCAGAGTCAACGGAAAAAACACGCACGGCACGCTCCGGCAGCCTTTGCGAATGTGCGTGGTCACTCCGGCTCAAAGATTCCATCACGAGCAGCAAAACGAACGTGACGACGGCGGGGACAGGGCGAGTGGGGGAACGAGCGTGACAACGGCGAGGGTGGCGAGGGTGGCGAGGGTGGCGACGAGGCGAGTGGGGGAATGTCCGTACCGGTTTCTTGCTGGGCATGGGCAGGAAGGGCACGCTGGGGCCCAGGACGGCGCCCAGCAGCTTGTCCACGTAGGGAACGTTCTGCTCCAAGCTGCTGCGGAAGCGAGGGTCCCAGCTGGCGTAGAGCACGGTGCCCCCGAGCCCCCCCACCACCACCAGCAGGCCCCCCCCCACCACCTTGCCTGCTGCTGAGGGACTGAGCGTGCGGCATGGGGGAGCGGGTGAAATGGGCTCAAGGTGAGAAAATGTTCGTGGCAATAACTGCAAATTGTCCTTAAATTTACATAAATCAGATTCAACATACAGATAGTCCCCGAGTTACGATGGTACGACTTATGATATTTCGATCTTATGATGGCGATAGCGATACGGCAAAATTGTAAAATATTTTAAATTTGGCGCGGCAGGCAAACGCAGCAGCGTACGAGGTACGATGCTGTACGTTGGGACGCTGTCGGGATGTACGCATCTGCCGCCTTGTGTGATGCAGAGAGGATTGTTTCCTGAGAAAACTTTTAATTACGTAGCAGTTCATATAGGTAGGCTAAGAATTTACATTTATTTTACTTTACATTTTACTCTGTGCAAAACAGTATTGTAATTATTAAATACATACAGTATATATTTTATACAGTACGGTACTGTAAATTGCTCTGTTTTGCTAAATTATCACAATTCTTTAAGACTCCTGGGTAGGCTAGGCCTCTTCGACTTACGATATTTTGACTTATGATGGGGTCGTCGTTACGCATCTCCATCGTAAGTAGAGGACTACCTGTATTTATTTAATAGCGATTATGACTATTGCGTCACATTAATCAAGAAATGTCTTTGTCATCTGCAGAAAATTGAGTATTTAGATGCTGAAATGAATGCAAGTATCTTCCAAGTTTAAGCTCAGTTGTATGTTTGCAAAATTTATGGTCCCTTACTGGTAGACAATGGTCTGTTTAATACATAGACTTTCGCTCTAATATCATCCATAATATAAATGTGTTGTTAAACCCGCCACCACCCGACACAGCCAATTCACAATGTTGTGGATTTGCTCTCCAACACACCGGTGTGCTGTACTAGTAACGATTTGGCATGTTCTGTTTACGTGACAACCCTTACTAATTGGCCGTGTCGGGTGGTGGCGGGCTTAACGACACGTTTATATTGACGCAATCAAACCCGATAAATCACTTTGTCATCTTCACTGGTTGAATTTAGATATCAAATATGCAAAGGTGATCCATACACTTGGTTTCCTATTGGTGTCTCTCACTCTACGCATCTCCTCGGTGTGCACGACCTCCTTCCGACATCCGCGTGCAACACCTTCCCCGCTCAACACTTCTCAACTCTAACACATACCTACGTCGTACATACGTCACACCTCGCTCCACACAACGTTTAACTCAAGTCGGCGACATCGTGAATCTGAGAATGAGAGCATCTCCTCCTGGGCGTGGCGCGCATTCCCACAGCACTCACCCCGAGCCGGGGATCCCAGCAGAATAGCAGCGCTTGGCATGGGTCGAGGGGCATGGTGTCCGGCCACAGAGGCACTTCTAAAACACGTGGCACACGCAAATACAAACAATAAACATCGGGACCAGAAATAAACCTTTTCGGCTATGGGAACTGTTCAACTGACCAGTGAGCGATATGGAACAATAACAACTGGCGCGTTATACGGTTGTACACCGCGTGCCAATCGCATTTGTTTGTCGGTGTCGGGTGGCAGAGGGCTTTAACAACACAGGTTTTTCCAGAACATCCCGTGATCTAACCGAAAAATCTACTACAAGTAATTTTAATCAAGTTGACCATGCCATCATCATAATCAGCCAGTATCAATCCACCCCTCGCGGTCCTGCCCTGCACCAATCGATCGAGCACCTGCACCAGATCCATCTACTACTTAATTTTCACAACAAAATGGGGGGTTTATAAAGTGTCTTAGAGGACCGCGTATGAAAACACCGTAATTCAACCGTGTAAATTAATTGACAGATCTGGTATCTGGGCCATTCTTTCAGCGCAAATGCTATCACAACGAAGCCATATTGCTTTTGCTCTGTGAGCAATACTAAATATTTCCATCGTGAGTCGACTACTGCATAACGAGATGGCAGTTGGAGAGGAATCGCAAACAGTGACCGGCAGTGACGTCCACATCGGTGGGCCGGACACCTGCTAACGTGAGCGAGTTAATTCGTGGGTGAGTGACAGCGTATGTGAAAGAGTGAGCCTGCGAGTAGGTAGGTGAGTATATGGGGTGGACACCGTGAAACTGCAAGGCCCCGTATCTCGCCTCATTGGTGCGTGGGACAATCAGGTCATCGTGTGCTGCCAACCGGAGTCAACGGCGACCGGCGGAGTTCAGGTTACAATTCAGCCTCTGCCACAGCTTTGGAAGCAGGCCTGTCGTGTACATCTCAATGAAGGTGTAGACTTGCTACACACAGAAATAGGATATGCAGCCGAGCCATGTGCTGGGTATGTGAGAGAAGGAAAATGGTGAAAGCTGACCTCGTATCAGCGGTAGCTGGGTCTCCTCACAGCGTTACGCTCACATTGGAGAGTTTCACCTTGTTGGCCATGACCGTTCCAGGCCCCTGCCCTGCCCTGCCCCCCTCCCTCGTGACAATCCCTCTCCTCACGTCAGCTTCCCCCCTCTGGGCTTTGCCTTCATCTCCGGTGTTCTCCTGACTCACTCCTCTAGAGTAGAATGATGTCTGCTGCATGAAGACACTACATATAAGACTGACGATGAGTCCAGCGATTGAATTGTTCCTGTCCAAATCCAGCCCCAAGACAAACATTAAGAGGCTCACGGTGCATTATGGCCCAACTTCCCATTCAGGCGTTATTTTTCTTAAAATATGGTAAGAGCCTGATTTATTGCGGACAAGTGTTGTGTCTCCATGTCTCTGTGTGTCTGTGTGTATCCATTCGTGTCCGAGTCTCTCCGTGTATGCGTCTCCATGTCTACGTTTTGTATCTCTGTGTTTGTGTGCGCGTGCGTATGTCCAGCAGACAAGGCTGCGTTGGCTGAGTCATGTAGCCCGCATGCCTAGCCACCGCATACCCAAGCAGCTTCTGTTTGGCTACTAAGAGGGGGCTAAACGGGCACGACATGGGCTGGAGAAAAGATGGAGCTGATGCGGTATGGGAAGATGTGGAGCCGAGTGGACTTGCCGGCGACTGGTACCAGCGGTGTCAAGATCGGCCTCTATGGAGGAGGCTCGTGAAGGACACTACTGGGCTGCTGGAGGCAGTCGCCCTCCAGCAACAACGGGGGCCAGAGGAGCGATGCTCATAACGAGCGGTGTGCCGGACGGCTAAAAAGCACAGTAATCTGTCAGCCAACCCATGGCACCTGGGTCTGTCCCAAGACCTCCTGTCAGTGAGCCTTTGACACTTCACGTGGCCTCAAAGTGCACCTGGCCTGGCACAGGCGGCATGGTGACGTCACAGTCACTTAGTGGTGAATGGCGGCTATTGGTATCGGTGTGTCTGCCTCCACGTCTGCTGCCTAACTTGCGCATCGGTGACCGAGGGTGTTGAGGGTCGGGGCTGGGGGCTGACGGCTGTCTGCTGCTGTGCTGCACACACGCAACTAACAGAGAGGAGAGTTGTGGGCTGCGTCGGCCACTCAACTGCACGGTGTTGATGTCAGGTGACACGACTTACCCCGTGGAAAATCCAAATTGGCGGTAGAATGAGCCGCGTAATATTGGGCTTATTCTGTAGTTTACCTTGAGATTCACTAGTGGTGGTACATCTCGTTCGCAAGGGTGTCCAGGGTGTCAGTTGACACATACAGAGCAAACATGGATGTCATGTACACATTTTAAAGCTATAACGAATACTGGAGAGTTAGTGGAAATCACATCTTATCCAAAATCTTAAAGCATACTCGTTCAAAATAGCCAATTTAGACGACATGCGATCTAGGTTGAGAAGAACCGGATCTCTGCGAGGAGTGACACGCTCGGCAACTTCCACATAGCGTTACGCAGCTGATAAAACGATTATACTGTCGTGGCAAACCTGAGCCACCCATAAGCACACGGTCCAGGTACAGATACTCCTCCAAACTCTGCACAACCATGCCATAACACGAATAATTTCCAATGATGCATCAGAAACGGCTCGACTAAACAAGTGTCACGAAAATGAAGGATAGATGGTGCCATCAGTCTTCATGCCATTAAAAAACAGATTTTACATTGACAATATCTGTCACATTAAAACACATCAACCGCTTGTTACCCCACTGCCAATGTAGACTCTTCATTTGTATCTGTTGCAGTAGAGGTACCATTTTAAAGAGCCGCTGATGGGACCTGAAAAATCTGGCAGCAGGCAGGCTCGGAGCTTGCTCTCAACGCGTGAGCCTCCGAAGGCCGCACTCCATCGCACGCCGCGGGCCGGCACAGCCTGGTCCCATCCCGCAGCAAGCGCCGCCGCTTCACCGCGACACGCAGCGCACACGTACAGCGTTCCTTCGGCTGATAGTAGATCTGTGCATTTTTTGACATCTATTACCGGCTGTGACCGCACGGATCAAAAACACGGACATTTAAGAAAAAAATGGTTCAAAAACTGATACGTGTGTAAATAAGCATGGAGAGCTGCATGCTGGGAATTACACTGAGAAGACAGAAATAAGAAATATGAGAGCAGAAGACAAATAAAATTAGAGACAAGGCACTTCCTATTTTAAAAAGAAAAGTGCACTTTGTCAGAAGCCTCGACCTTGGCTCCTGGCTGTGTCAGCCGAAGGAGGGAACACATTCGAGAGACTGCCCACCGTGGACATGGAGCAATGAGATCGGGTCGTGTGCATGTCGGAGATCGATTGTGGCATCATCATCGCAGGGCCATGACAATGGCTCAACGATGATGGTTCAATCCCATCATGCACTGTTATCATATTTCGCCTTTCTTGGTAACTTACCAAGTCACCTGCCCTCCTCTCTGCGCACGTGCCCCACCCATCACAACATTCCTTTTTTACCAGTTTACATTGAAAACGCTTTTTCATTTTCTCGAAGGTCAGACATTTATTTTCTGGTTGTAGACGATATTCCACATAGTCTGTTAACAAAATTAACTCTATTAACGTGCTTTTGTCCTTACATGTAATTGCATTTTCATCAAAACACTGTATTATTCACATTACTACCTGAACACACACACACACACAGCATTTTGCTACCTCCACATTCTAAATTCACAGGATTCAGACAACAGAGCCCATTCCTAACAACTGCAATTAAAAAAGGCTCACCAAGTGACCAGTTTTCATCATCAGTACCTAAATCTGCCAAAAAGTTGCACTGCCCGAGTCAATATCCTCACTGGCGCTATAATTAGCCACTCCGGGGCCCCACGAACACATGACAGGGGCCACGCGGCTCCTCTGCCTCAAGTCGTCGTAGCGATTCGGGGCCCCAACACGAGCCACCAGCGACTCTCTCTCGGTCGCCACTGTCTGAATAAGGCCCCTGATCAACGTCACTCAACTCGCGTGACAACGACGGATGCCGAGTCGATGCAAAATGCGTGCAACATGACGAAACCACAAATGTGTCCGTCATTAACGGAGTACTGTAAAAGCCAAATCTGATTTTAAAAAAATACATTCGGAGTGCGACGCCTCAAGCACGTGTTAGGGGACACGGGGCGTCCTCCCCAGTGGCTCAGGACTGTATGGGCAGGACGACATTGCGACTTGCAATAATTGTGTCTTTCTATGTACTATGCCCAACTTCCTTTGCACCGTACGTAGCCAACCGTGCTCATCGGAGTTGCGGTCTAAATGAGCAGTTTCCTGCTAAGATCGTGGTTACTCAAATGAAATAACAGACCAAAGGAAAGCGTGTGGGGATACGGATGAGATTAAAAAATATATTTTTCAACATTAGCATCAAGCTCAAGTCGATACACATTTCGTCTTGCATCACAAAGCTCCCTACGCTGTTGGGAGATTGCACACAAACACCCCGTGGTGCCCAGACGTTCTTGCACAACCCACTATCCCGCACTTTATACACCGCGAGCAAACACGTATCAGTTAAGAGGTCACGAGTACGAGCCACGAACCTCACCACTCTAAACAAGATGCCACATTTTGTTATTTTCCTTGAACCTATCTACGTGACTTTACCGACAGACCCAGAGAATATGAACGCCGCATTCCACCCGTTCAAGCAGCGGTCAGGCCGAGCGCTGTGTGTGGACAAGCCACGAACCTGGCGCCATTCCGCGTTGTGCAGTCAACGTCGGCGCCGTGAGGGGGGCAGCGAGAGGGGGGCAGCGAGAGGGGGCAGCGAGAGGGGGCAGCGAGAGGGGGCAGCGCGCTCGCTCTGGGGGGCTGGTGCTGGGCCCGGTCAGGGAGAGGCGTGTACAGTGCCTACTACAGTGGCAGCAGCGAGAGCAGCGCCAAGGGACGGGCCCGGTGCGTACAGTAACCAGTACAGTGCGTCGCCGCAGTACACACCACGATAGAGTACACAGCACGATACAGTACACAGTGTCCACACACACAGTCACCCACACTCACAGTGTTCACAGCAACACGGTGCGGCACGCACGGTACAGTGCCCACAATACAGTGGGCGACGAGGCCTCGGATTCGACTGCCGAATTTGGTTCCCCACACCACCACTTCCCGTCCCACCTCCCACCTGAATGAGCGTGCCCGCTCTCCTGCAGGACCTCCACATGGCTGCTGGGCAAGGCGTGGTGCGAGGCAGGCACTGTGAGCAGAGTGTGAGAGAGAGAGAGAGAGGCAACAGCAGGATGAGCAGGAGGCGGGTGACTGCTGCTGCTGCTGCTGGGGGCTACCCGAGAGGTCGCTGCCCTGCGCCGCCTCGCGCCCAATGCCACCCAAAGTCACCCCGGCGCATGCGCACTGCGACCACGTCCCAGCCGGCCCAGCCCCGGGCCACGCGTCACCGGGACAACCCAACTCGTCCACGCGGCGGGGGGGGGAGGGGGGGGCGTGTTTGGAAGTGCGGCGGTTGTGGCGGTGTCGACTATCTCCGTGCCCCCCCCCACCCCCCTGCTGATGCTGGGAGTGGTCGCGCCCCGCAGCGCGCCCACGTGCCGTGCCGCACGTGGTTGTTCCCGCGTCGTCGACTTGGAGGCTCACCCAGGTTCGGAGGTTCGCTGCTGGACGACCGTGGGACCACGCGGGCGTCCAGAATAAACACCTCGTTCTCGACCAGGGGGTTGGCAATCAAAAGGACAAGATCGTTTTTTTAGAATTCTATAAAAAGAGACTCAGTATTTCATAGAGCCGCAGTGCACGTGAGTACAAGGTGCTCCTTAATAAGTGAAGTCACGAAACAGTCCTTTGCGAGGCGCAATCGGCTCTGGACCCTGTTCTAGACGCACGCATCGTACGCCTCCTGACTTTCACATTCCTCGACGGAACTGCTCTGGCACATCAACCGCAGCAGATCATCGATATGCCGACCGATGCGCACATCTCAAAACATTAAAACGAAAGACAAGCCAAAGGACGTAGTCAATTGTGGTCCTACAGCCCAAGCTGTGAACCATATAAACCACTGAAGTCTACGCATCTTGCAGGAGGATCAGCAACACCCCACGAGCTCTCATTTGCAGCCCTCTCCTCGTGGCCAGCAGACCGAGCCATTGAGCTGCTGAACGCATTGCCATCATACACAAGAATAGAATAGCGTGTGGGAGTCAGCGCGCTGAGCCCGGTGAGAGCTCAAGAGACCAGGACAGAGCCTCGTTTGCAACGGTGACCTGGGTCACCAACATTACAAAAAATCCAAACAACGCGTGACGTCACCGCGTCCTCGACTCTCGTGACGTCACCGCGTCATCGCTTCGCGTGACGTCACCGAGTGGCCGCGTGACGTCACCGCTTCCGCCTGGTCGCCGAGGCCGCGGTGCGCGCCGGGAGGAGAAGGAGGCAGGAAGATGGCGGCGGGGCAGCAGTGGGTGCTGGTGGAGATGGCGCAGGCCCTGTACGAGGTGAGGCTCCAGCAGCCTCCAGCAGGCTCCCCCACTCACGCTCCCTCACACTCGCTCCCACACACTCGCGCTCCCTCACACTCGCTCCCCCACTCACGCTCCCTCACACCCGCTCGCTCCCCCACACTCGCCCACGCCTCCGACTGGTCGGGGCTCGCGCGCCAGTGGGAGGCTTTATTCGTGAATAGGAAATGAATGACTTCTAAAGTCACGACGAGGAGCTTCATCAGCATCGGACACGACGAGTCCACTGCCGGGGGGTGAAGGCTCCCCCACATCCCCCGCCACGACCTCGACACGGACGCTTCTCTTTGCTCCGTTCCTTGGCTGCGCCTCCATTCGAGACTCTCGTCCCCTCGAACCGAAACGTCCCCGGTTTGAGCCCTCGGAATCGTGCGGATAATGGCATTCAGTTCCGTGTTCTCTCATGCTTAGTCTTGGACTCTGGCTACGTCTCTGCGCCGGCGGTTTTTAAAAAATTCCTGAAATCGCAGCGCCGTGACATCGATAAGTGAACAGTGTGTCGGAAGGAGTCCGAACTTGGGGTCCAGTGCGCGAAGCGCGACAACTCGCGTCTGACTGCCCGGGGCACCCAGCTCGGGTGGGGCTCGGGTGGCGTCATTAATGAGTCGGCGACTCGCCAGCCTCAACATTCTCACCTCACCAGCGGCTCACACCAACCTCAACATTCTCACTTCATCAGTGGCCCACACACCAACCTCAACATTCTCACTTCACCAGCGGCTCACACCAACCTCAACATCCTCACTTCATCAGTAGCCCACACCAACCTCAACATTCTCACTTCATCAGTAGCCCACACCAACCTCAACATCCTCACCTCACCAATAGCTCACACCAGCCTCAACATTCTCACTTCATCAGTGGCCCACACCAACCTCAACATCCTCACTTCATCAGTGGCCCACACACCAACCTCAACATTCTCACTTCATCAGTGGCCCACACCAACCTCAACATTCTCACTTCATCAGTGGCCCACACACCAACCTCAACATTCTCACTTCACCAGCGGCTCACACCAACCTCAACATCCTCACTTCATCAGTAGCCCACACCAACCTCAACATCCTCACCTCACCAATAGCTCGCACCAACCTCAACATTCTCACTTCATCAGCGGCTCACACCAACCTCAACATTCTCACTTCACCAGTGGCCCACACCAACCTCAACATTCTCACTTCACCAGTGGCTCACAACAACCTCACTCCACCAGTGGCCCACACCAACCTCACTTCATTCACACTTCATCAGTGGCTCACCAACCTCACTTCACACTTCATCAGTGGCTCACGCCAGCCTGAGCCTCATCAGTCGCTCACACCAACATCACTTCATTCATACTACAGTACATCAATGGCTCACACCAGGCTCACTTCATCATTCAAAGACGCAAGCCCACCTAATATACCATCCACAGTGGCTCTCGTCGCTACACACGCAGGCTATGTCACCCATTATCCGACACGATTTGTAAATTTCCTTTTCGGAAGAAGACTTTAAAGTTATTTTACGGGGCACGCTTCAGCGACGTCTCTGCAGTGACATTCACAGACCAGAAATGACATTGCAGTGTTGCCCAACGTCCACGGTTCGATGTCGTGTAGCTCATCAGGCTTCGCGAACAAAACGTACAACTCGCGTCGGAGACACACAAGAGGTGTTTGTTTTTTCGTCTTTAAAGTTGGCAGACCTCACATCATCAACCTCACATCATCAACCTCACATCATCAACCTCACATCATCAACCTCACATCATCAACCTCACATCATCTTGCAGTAGCAGTCTTTCCAGCCTCGCGTCAATTGCGCTCGGTCGAGCTACAGCAATGTGTGGGTTCATATTCTTGGTTCTTTCGGCAAAGTCACGTAGAAGGGAAATAATAAAATAAAATGTGTGGGTTGTGTCAGGTCCTTCCCCACTTTCTGAGATGGGACATTTAGAATTTGCAGAGCGACAGTTTCACATGAGCGGATAGTGACTAGCATAAAACAAATCTTGAATTAATAAAATATTTGTAAATAATTATGCTTACGTAAACAATTGCATTCCATATTTACTCAAGTATATTATAAATAAAATGTAAACGTATGCAGATGTGTGTAAATGCCACGTATTACGCCTTAATATAAATATTGTGAGAGCAAAGCTAATATACAAAATAATGCATTTCATGAGGTTGTACAATAACAAATTATACACCCCGTATAGTTCTCTGGCTGTAGTTATTTTTCTTGCTGCTGCTACTTCGCATGATAGGCCTCCGGCCTCTGCTTAGCAACTGCAAGGTCAAGGTTCATTGTTTTACATTGTTAGGCTCATTGCGTGGGCTTCGCATGCGTCAGTAGGTTGTTGTGCATGACTCGCTGGTTTCGTGTAACAATGAGTTTACAAGCCCGTGTGGTCGACCACATACAATTTTTTCACAAGAATAGCATTACAATTTCACACATCTTGTTTAAAATAGTGTCATGTTTTTGCTTTATAAATGTAAGGCATTATTCCAAACATGAATAGTTACGTATAAGTCATGTATAAGAATTGGTTCTGAGTACAGTAATACCCCAGTTTACATCGGGGATGCGTTCCTGAAAGGTACAACCACGAATATCGAAACGACGCAAATGAAAGCGATTTACAGGGTTGGTGAGGCAGCGGATTCGAGAAGGGACGGACGATGCCGTCAGCAACATAAGGATGGGTTGAGGCGACTAAATCACGTGTTATTCATAAAGTGACAACTTATTTGCGAAACAACGCAAAAGGGGGAGACGAAAATTGGGGTATTGCTGTATATATGTGTTCTCATAAGGTCACGTGTGTGTGTGTTTCGCAGGCGCCAGCGTACCACCTGCTGCTGGAAGCGCTGCTCATCTTGTGCATCGTGCGTCTGCTCTTCTTCTCGAAGTCCTACCGTGTGCTGGAGCGCTCAGACCTCACTGACAAGGTGACGCGCATACCCCCCTGCGCTGCACCACACTGCGTTTTTGGCACCACGTTTCCCAATAAAGCACTACCACACGTCACACTGCATCAATGTATACTGCTCATTCCACCATGCACATTGAAAGCATTACAGAATTCATATGCATAGTTTTTATAATCAGGTGTTAATTGTCAGGTGATTCTGAATCACTGTTTTCATTATCAACCTTCATGAATTGTGAATCCTTCCCCTTATAATTAAAGCATCATCGATATTGTTTATATCAAGAATATTTCGAAGTTATACCTTTGCATTGTGTGTGCTTGTACATCAGGAAAAAGAGGAGCTAATAGAGGAATGGACGCCGGATCCATTGGTGCCACCTGTGCCTCAGGACCACCCTGCGCTCCACTACTCTATTGTGTCAGGGTAGGCTCGGCACACATGGCACGCTGATGACACTGTGAATAGCATATTGTGAGATTATTAGCACATTCCCATTTTTGTAGCTTTACAACACAATATATTTATGTACAGATATATTTCGTCGTGCTTGTACACTGTTTGTATGTCTGCGTGTAATACTGATATGCACTTACCTACCAGTCAACAACAGACAACTTGACATTTCACACGTTTTGTGATTGTCAGCTTCAGTGATCATTATCCAAATTTGACGTACAGCTTCGGAATTTTCCTCCGCGGTTGTGTGCAGGGAGCCAGGAAAGAAAATTGTGGTAAATAACAAAGAGTGCATTAACTTGGCCTCCTTCAACTTCCTTGGACTCCTAAGCAACAAGAGAGTCAAGGTGACAAGCATACACCCATCCCACCACACGCTAGGCTGGCTGTTCCGCACGCTTGTCAATGAGTAACAAAACAACCTCAACACATTCGTCAATAACATTACTTTGAAAGGAAGAGTTTATAACAGGTAACATTTT